GTGAAAAAACAGCCTCTTTAGGAACTTTCTCAAAAGCAAGAGAGCATTAATGCACAAAGTTTTCTACTGTAAGAAAGAAGTGATATGTTTAATCCAGGTGGGCGTATTTTTAAAAAAGTCCATTAAAGTCAGCATCTTTTGTTATCACCTTCAAAAAGGCAAAAATTCCCATTTCTACATATGGGTCAAACACATAAATGAGTTTATGTTAGTCTGTTCCACAGATTATGACCTAAAATGTGACGTTTTGGAGTCATTTCCAGCATTTCCTCCGGTCAAACTGGTCACACAAGATCTTGGTTTACAACGTAGATGTTATCTATTGAAGTTACAACACTGCCTGTTAGCAGAAGAACCACAGACTTTAAAAACAGCTCCTAGAAAGTAATCGGGGGATGATCATCCACAACTGAGTCAGCGATGGCCACCACTGTTAGCAAACACAAAAATGGCAACTCAGTCCACGTTAAAGATTGTTTGGGTGTAGGCCTAAATAAGTTACTGAGAGTCATGTTTTGTGACATCACATCTTTGCCTTTAACCTACAACTGATTCCCTTTTGGAGTCAGGCTAATTCAAGACTGCCATCTTAGGCAGTTTTACAGATACTGAGCTAAAGCTGGGTGTAGTAGGACGGAAGTGGCCTCCACAATAGATCCTCTCGGTGCCAGTGATTGGGTGATATCCAAAACTTGATCATTAATCGTCTTGTGAATCATTTTAGGGTTTTTAATAAAACTATAAGTCATGATTTGATGTAGCCCTACAACTGATTTCAATCTGGAGTCAGCCTGATCCAAGATGGCTGCCACAGAAAATCAACCTTCTTGACCATGGAAAGCCTCTCACTCCTTTAATTTTACAGATTTTGACATAAAATCCAATATCTAAGTAGCTGAAAGGTTTCTTTGCATCACATTTAGTTGCTAGTCTTTGCTTTTCTGTTAAACATCCAATGAACCACACGATGAACCGTGTGAAACTCTCATTTGATGTTTACAGCTGCAAATATTTTGGAATCAAACCATTTCAAAATGGCCGCTGCAATCAATCAACATTTACTAACAGAAAACCGGGTACAGCTCAGTCAGTTTTTAAAACAGTTGGCTAAAATTTGATGTGGCAAGAGTCAGAAAGCAGTTAGCATTAAAACAAAAGCCAGCATTCAGTATGTGTTACCAACACATGTTGTGTTTTGGTGCTGTTAGCTGGAGCAGCATAAGCACCAAAACACAACATAAGCTGGTAACCTGTATGCAGTTTTTTTTTCAGCAGGGTAGTTTGGTCAAAACAACTATTTATCCATCATTTCTCAACATAAAGGAATGTTGAACTTGTGTTCTTTAAAGAGCAAGTTACCCCCAAATAAACTTTTTTTTGCTGATAAACTAAATAAACGAGTGTCTAATCGTGCTGCAGACAAGTGCCGTCAATAACTTGGCACTTCAGTGCATCTTAGTTAAAATTTAAATTTTCTGCCTAAAACTGGCAGTGTTGTGCCGTTGTCAGGTAAAAACTCTGCACTGTATTTTAATTTAAATCTGCCACCGCTATTGGCTAAGAGGTATGCTATGATGTAAACTGGTACATTATGATGACACAATGCTGTCGTGAGCCTGTGTGTGTGTGTGTATTTGTTAGCAGCTCCGCCCTCTCGGTCTGCCAGGCAACAGCATTTGTTGCATTTTTCAAACATGAAGTGGGAGTGGAGTTAGACTCTGGTAGGGGTTTACTTGCTCTTTAAGAAAAGTGATAATTTAAATTCTTACCTAAATATTCCGGTGATCTAATCTATAGTTTTGTTTGAATATTTGCGTATAATACCAAAAAAGTTTATTGCTTTGTTTTTGCTGCCCATAGTTCTGGTTTGGTTTGTCTCGTTTGTAAGTTGGCACCAAGCTGGTTAACTAAACCAGAGCAAAAGATGGCAAGAGAAACAACCGTTTGACTTTGACAGTTCAGCTGACCTTGCTGTCTGTGAACGAGCCAGGACTGTTTAACCAGCGCCCAATGGCATGTTGTTGGCATTGCCACGAGCACTGAGGTGAAATCAGGGTTCTTTGTGGTTCTGTGACAGGAAGGAAGCCACAAGCAGCATTTCTTCTCAGTCTCCCAACGCAAGAGAAACCAACATCTCCAGTGTAGCACATCCTGGGTTTCTCTGTAGTGACAGTAAACTGTAATCACTGGGTGTTTTCAAGAAATGAGACTGAGATCAGGTTTATTTGTGAAGCACTTTGTGATTTTAATCTGCGAAAATTGCTGTAGAAATAAACTTCTTCTTCAATCCGTTTTATCCATATCATAGTGTGTACATGTAAAAACAGTGGATTTGTTTTAGTTATATCTGGAATTTATATTTCATGTTTCCCAACAACAACAATAATAATAATGCTAATTAATATTAATATTTTTGTGCTTGACAGGTGAGGGTTGACATCAAATCTTTTCCGTTTTTGTTTTGAACTGAACATTTTAAGACTGGTGTATGTTATTGGTTGAAGTTGACAGTAATACATTTTAAAAGAAAAATAATATCAGTTCATTTGGCTCTGGTGCTGATATTGACCTTGGCCCATTGACCCCATATGAAAAGAAAATGGTCAGTAATTTGGGGATTAAAATCGACTCATCAATTAATCTTGACACTCATGTAAATACAGTGGTGAGGTCCTGTTTCTTTAACCTGAAAAAATTATCCAAGATCAGGCCTCTGCTGTCCAGAGCTCATCTGGAGTCTGTGTTGCATGCTTTCGTCCTGTCCCGGCTGGACTACTGTAACGCTCTGTACGCTGGTCTGGCCCAGTGCACGGTTGCACGGCTCCAGTTTGTGCAGAACTCTGTGGCTAGGTTCCTGACAGGTACTAGATGTCGAGAGCACATTACCCCAGTGCTGCCTTCTCTGCACTGGCTCCCGGTGCATTATCGAGCTAAGTTTAAAATCTTAACTCTCGTTTATAAGGCCCTCCAGGGCAGTGCCCCCTCGTACATTACTGCACTTTTGCAGAGGTATGCTCCATCTCGGTCTCTTCGCTCAGCCGAGCAGGAACTTCTGGTGGTCCCCCGGTCGAAATATCGATCGAGGGGTTGTCGTGCTTTTTCTGTTTTGGCTCCAACTCTGTGGAACGAATTGCCATTGAGCATTAGGCAGGCACCATCCCTTCATGTTTTTAAGTCTCGTTTAAAGACTCATTTTTATTTGATTGCGTTTTAGCGCTAGGGTTCTTTGAATTGCCCTGACATTATGGTTTTAATTCTTCTTCTTTTTAACCCAGATGCTTGATTTTATTTTTTCCACCATTTGTTTTTGATCGATTAGTCTTATTCCGTTATCTCTCTTTATTTGTAATATTGTTTGCTTGATATTTTATGATTTTATGTTTTTATCTTGCTTTTATGCCCGTGTACTGGGAATGTTTTTCTTATGATGATGCTGTTCAGCACCTTGGGCTTCCGATAACGTTGTGGAAGGTGATCTACAAATAAAATTTGATTGATTGATTTATAAAGCACCAAATCACAACAACTCTTCTCAAGGGACTTCATAAAGTAAACATTCCAGTGGAATCTACTTATCAGCGCATTCTGTTCAGTTTATTATTCCAATTATAGAAGTGCTTTATTTAAGTGCTAAAGGAGGATGCTGGGGAAGATGACCTCCATCTAAAAACAAAAACCCTCCCACCTGTGGAGACCATGGACAGCTCCTTCAGAGGCAGACCGAGACCTCCCAGATGTAAAACAGAATGCTACCATAGGTCATTCATCCCCTCTGCAGTAAGAGTGTCAAACTCCTCAGTTTAAATGGTACTGGCATTATCCTGGTAAATGGCCTGTATTTGATATGGCACCTTCTAGAGTCCTGGAACCCCCCACGGTGCTTTACAACACAGTCATTAACTTGCTGGTGATGATGAGCTACGATGTAGCCACAGCTGCCCTGAGGCGCACTGATAGAGGCGAGGCTGATGAGCACAAGTGCCACCGGTCCCTCCGACCACCACCACCAGCAGGCAAGGGGGGTTAACTGTCTTGCCCAAGGACACTACAACAGAGACACACTGAGCGGGGCTCGAACTTGCAACCTTACAATTACGGGGCGAGCACTTAACTCCTGTGCCACCATCGCCCCAATAACATAACATAAACAATAGCATCAACGCAATACTCAGTACGTGGTCATTACTTGTGCAATACCAGATTTACATAGTATGCCTGTGTCCCTTACAGTATGCTGCATAGTTCTAGAACCCAAGTTTTTCATTTATTTGTGGTTTTTATGGTCGAAGGTTACAATAATAGCCTACTGAGTATGTGTAGCTACGTGTACCGTTGTTATTGTTTTTCTTCAAATGATTCTCTGAAGTGTTGGTGTTGCTGTAACAAGTGAATTTCCCCACTGTGGGATCAATAGTCTTTTCTATTTATTAGTTTCACTCGTTTATTTGGATGTCATCCCATCAGATTATTTGAACTTTAACCTAAGAGTTGCATTATGGATTTCAGTTCTGAAGATATACTTTTGGATCATTTATGATAACTTTTCTTGCCATAATTCCCATGAGGATGGGCAAGGGGTTTGGGCCTTTCACAGTGGGGCTACAATTTTATGCATAACACCTTATACTGACCACATTAGGTAGCTTATCTTAATTAGCACTAGCCAATTGCTGCTTTTGCTCGCTGCATTTTCTACAGCTTCTAATAATGGTTGAGTTGTGGTGGTTGAAATAAAAATATTTCTGCAATTTTAGGCAAAAACCTTTTTCATGTTAGATTTGTATCATAGACATTCAAAAACCAACTGCCCGATGTCCTAGTGGAGAGTGGGCAGCTAAAGTGGTCTCTTTGTTATCATTTAAAAATGATTTTTGAATAAATACTTTTGTTATATCCAGCAAATATCAAGGAGCACACAAAGAACATCCATGCTTTAAGTGTACTAGGAGTCTTATGCCGTCTCTGCCATTGTTGAGAAATGACCAAATAGTACACAACAGTCAACCAAAAGGCCTTTTTATTCAAGCCCCCCAAATCCTCACAGGACAGGTGAGAAAACATCTATGACAAAGTCGCCAGATCGTCTACGCAAGTGCCACCAATCATCAAAACAGTTACAATAAAAATCAGCTGAAAAAAGAAAACAATGAAGGATAAACTGAACTTTTGCAAAGATATAAAAGATCTGTTAGAAATGCTGTGAGAACTCTGGGTAGCACACAATAACTGGTATGACATAGTCATTACATAGAAAAGACTCCAGCGAACGTCCTTCCTCAGCTTCCCCAATGGGAAATCCAGTACCTTGCCTGTTGAGTGTTTTTACTCTCAAAGGTGGCGAACATGTATGTGCAGAGTGCACTTTTGGGCCATTCCCATCTGTACCTGGTCGGCCCGGCCCGGCCCGGCCCGGATAGCATAGCTTGCTTACATATCTTGGTGGCCTGCCTTTTTTCAGGGTACAACAAGACTGTTTTTCAGCCCTTTTTCTGAGGTGGTCTGCTTCAGGCTGACCAGGGCCAACACGCCCACTGCTGACTGATAGGCTTATCAGTCAGCAAATTCACACCTTTCATGAGAGCAAGCCTCTGATTGGTGGATAGAATCAGCCCACATGGGCTTGAAGGTTGGTTTATGCTTATTGACGCACGGCTACGCGTGTCAAAATTGCGTCATTTTAATAACCACGCCCCTCCACCGTGCCTCCGCATGGCCCAAACTTTCCGCACCGCGCACCTAGTAAATTTTCTAACCACGCGGACGGTCAGACACGGAAAAACATGGCGGACTGGCAAGAACTAGTATGGCAGAGTTTGTAAATACAGACATTTGTATGATTCAGCTCTCAGAGATCACCGTGATCAACATGTTGTTAATAATTCTTGGAGAGAAATAGGTCGCACTGTCGGAAAAGACGAGGACGCTGTTAAAAATGCTGGAATGCCATGTTGTAAACAGTAATTTCTACTTCTACTATGGTGTAGTGTTGGATGCATGCCGTCGAGCTCCATGCTGCCCCCTACAGTTTGGGAGAATATTGGCTCACCGCAGAGACAAGCCGCATGAACAATAAACGCTGCGAGTTGTGAAGGGCGTTCCATCCGCGAGCCGCATCACCAAGCGGAAAGTAAATGCGTCAAGCATAAACCAAGCTTGAGGCATGCCCAATTCATAGTCATTCATTATCATGCTGATTACCTAGAAGCTGAAAATGTCTCCGACTGCATTCCTTGCATACCTAAGCAAGGATGTGTGGAATCAACCGGGCCAGGCTGGGGCCGACTGGAGCTATGCGGGCACGGCCGACCAGGTACAGATGGGAATGGCCCATTAGATGCTCTGGTTAAAAAAAGTTCATCTATGCACACTTTTATTGTGTAAGAATACTTTGCAGAGATAATAAAAATGCATCTAATACATTATCATATATTTATGGTTAAACCACCAGACGGTAAGGTGACAGTTGACAAAAAAAAAAAAAGCTTCAAAAATGATTTAACCCAGACCTGGGAACCGTTAGCCTGTCGTTCCATCAGGCCACCGTGGCAGATGAAGGGCTTTTAGATATTCCATCCTGGTAAAACGTCACCAGCAATAACCAAACCTGTGTGAGTGGAACAGCTCATACAGCCTGATTAACACAATGAAAAAGTGCAGCCCGTTCCAAAAAACACAATAGCAACGCTCTAGGACAGCACGACTAATGCCCAGTCCCAAATTTGCCAAGAAAAGGAATCGTTTCAACAGAAATCCCCTCTAAAACCTAAAAATTGACATTTTTAAATCTAATCTAAAAATGCAATTCCTTGTGAAATCTTTAATGAACAGGGAGCTGGAACTGCCTACTAACAGCTTGTGTTTTTGAACCAAACGCTGTAAATGCCCTTAAGGGCCACCGTGGACGACACAAAGCCTCCAGCCTCCCCACAGAGCTGCTTCTGTTCCCATCTTCAAACCAGTGACTTGACTTTTAGTCTCATTGCCGATCAGATTTGATCCAGTCAGACAAGTTTGCAAAGCGAACATTTGAAATCTCTGACCTCATGCCGTTATTTGCAAAAGGACTCTGAAGATTTGAGAGAGGTTGTGGATTACTGGCACCATCGTGCCCCCTTAGATCCAGGTTGGCATCGTTGCTCATGGGACGTGGGACCAGGTTGGTGTAAGTATTTGACTGGTTTTCTCTTGGGGACTGCAGGAAGGGGGAGCTGCTGTCTTGTCCAACAGTGACCTGGGACTCCTGCTTCAAGTGGAACCCCCCAACGAGGCCCTTTAGGAAATCATCCCCTTCCATCCCCTCCAGGAAGGGAAACGAGCTCGGCACCTGCGACCCTCCCCGCCCATCTCCCAGTACCGACCCGTTGAAGGCGTTTGTGTTGATGGTGCTGAAACCTGACCACATGTTGTGGAGGTTTTGGTTCTGGCTGGCCATTTGGTTCTGGACCTGCGGCTCAGAGGTGAGCTCTTCTCGTTGGTGCTGCTGGTGGAAGAGTGGCTGGGACTCTGGCTGGCTCATGAGGGGCGCCTGAGGAGCCGTGTTCAGACACTGCAGATCCCGCATGGAGAGCTGAGGAAGAGCGCCGCTGTGACCTTGCCTGTGTTGGTAACTGGACCTGCAGTTCGGCTGCTGCTGCCTGCCGCCGCTGGGACGACCGCTCATGTCTCCCGACGGGTTTACGGTAACCATGTCCATTGAGACCACTTGGTTGGGATTAACCCACGAGGAATTGACTGGTAAATTATGAGCCTGTGGCGTCATCCCAGTCTGAGTGCTGGTTTGGTAGGACGGGTTGAACGTGGAAGGCTGCTGCTGCATCGTAGGCGTGTTCTGCCTCATGTACATGCTGCTTGTGTCTGGAAAACAAAAGAAAGGGCAGAGCTTAGTGAGGTGGCTGGGAAGCATTATCCAGTCTAGCATCTGATGTTTTATTTGGTGTAACGTTTTGGTGGAGGAAAACGAATCACCTTTCTGCAAAGACGCGTGTGGTGCGGCCCTGGATCGATTCATCATCAGATTAGCAAAGGAGCCACCTGAAGACGGGCCAGAAAACTTCGGTCAATAAAAACATCCGGAGAAGATTTACAGCATCTGGATCGCCTGATATTGCATCCCTTACCCGTCAAACCGGAGGTCATCATCAAATACTTCCTCTTGGTCTTCTTCTCGTTGTAGCCGTAAGGATCTAAAGACAAAAGTTTCCAAGGTAAACCTGAGTCTGTGACTCAATCAGATGCAGCAGAACAGAAAGGCGTCACTGCTCACCTTTGTCGTCGGGCAGATATCGGAAGTCCATCGGTTCGCTGACCTCTTGGTCGGAGGGGCGACGCAACTGCATGTGCACGGTGACGGACTCTGTGATGGTGGTGGTGTAGTACTCTGGAGTCTTAAAGACGATGGCTACCTGACGATGAACATCGGCCTGAGAAAAGGCGCCTCTGGCCTCCCAGCCGTCCGTCGAAAAGAAACGCACCTCGATGTCATCTGGGGTTCGGGGGGAGGACAAGAGGAAAGAGTCAGCAGGTAGAGAGATGTAGATGACGCCAACAGCTGGTCGAGAAGAAAGAATGTTTGCACCTTTTTGTACTTTGTCACAGAGCAGGAAGATCTCATCCCCTCCTTTAACACTTCCACTGTTTCTGTTGACCCGACAGATCCTCAGCTCAGCCGTGTTCGGAGCCCCTAAACACGCAGAGAGGGACAAAGACGGTAAATATGGTTTTCTGCACGGTGACAGGACAGCAGGAGCTCCACGAACGAAACGTGTAACTGCTTAAACGTGAGCTGCAGGTTGAAGAAAAAAAAAAAAAAACGGTAATCCAACAGTTGAGGTCTCAGAAAGTGAAGTCACATGTCTGCCGTTAGAAGAGGAAGTGCTCTATGCCAACGGTGTTGTACGATGGTTTGTGTGCAGAAAATAAACTTCCCCTTTTTGCAAGTGAAATAGTGTACAGAATATGAAGTGGACAAACATGCACGCACACGTACGTGCAGCTTCTAGTACAAACTGTACGTGCTTTCATAGCCAAGCGTGCAAGCTCTCATTATTTGCACAACTACTGTAATCTGCATGAGCATAACCTGGATTATGTGGATCCAAACTTTGTGTTTTATTACAATAAGATCTAGAAATCCACCAGCAGACGCGTCTCGCTGCAGCAGTCTGCATTTCCTCTAGATCCGCGCAGCTGCTGTGATCTCATCTCTCCGCTCCAGCGTGACGTCTGATAGGACCACTCACTGTTGTCGTAGATGGGGTTCGTAACGATGGGGTTCAGGACTCGGGTGTAGTGGCCGTTCTTGTCCTGTAGGAAGACCTGGATGCACAGACGGACCACGTTCAGGTCATACTCCTCGGTCTGCAGCAGCTGCTCTCTGGGGACTGGAAACATGTAGAGGATCATCAGATTCATGCACATCAAGAAAAGGGTGCTTTTCTTGACACCAGGTTTAGGTGAGTAAAGTCAGGACACGCCCCCACCACAGATAATCACCATAGCAACGCAACGTCAATTCAGTGCGTTTGTAGCTGAAAGCGCCACTTCCTGAGTACTAATGGAAACCATCAGATCACATTGATGCATCATGTAAACGTGATCTTATTTTAAACGTAAGGTGGAGCGAGGGATGCTGGAAACCTAAATGTTACGTCAAAAATCTCCTCCAAGGCACAACAACGATGATTCATGCACTAAAAAAACGGAACAGCTCGAAACAATGAACGAGTTCCTCTCACTGCAGGTCATAAAAGTCAAACTCGAGCACTTTTCAAGCTCCTCCAGCACCCTACACCCGAGGACTTATCCAAAAATAAACACCATTTTACTTCTTTTAGCATCACTAATTTCTGTTTCAAGCACCTGGAAGAACCTCGAGCGTTTCAGCTAAATAAAGAATAATCTGCTTTCAAAAACACCACGGAGCAGAAAGTCGTCTTGTTTGTTTGAACAGTGGCGGCAGCATCGGTACGCTGGAATTATGTGGCTGTAAAGATAAATATATTTGTCTTTATAGTTTGGGAAACAGCTGATTTATTTCTTATAAAGATACATCAGCTGTTTCCCAAACTGCCTTTTGGATTACTTCTGTTCACCTCACAGTCTTCATATTCTTCTGCACACGCGCACGCACGCACGCACGCACGCACACACGCACACACACACACACACACACACACACACACACACACACACACACACACACACACACACACACACACACACACACACAGCTCTCACTGAGAGGCGCCCACGCACCAACACAGACACCAGGCTTTCACATCTGCCTCCACCTCCTGCACTCACGTCAAGGCCATCCCGCCTACAAACCGTCACCACGGTGACGCCGTGCAACGTCACCTTAGAGTGGAAAAAAAAAAACTGCCCGCAGAAAGACAGAGATGAGACTCCCTGCATGCGGCGGCTGTTGACGTGTGTGAAAAGCAGTGGGACAGCTCTTTTCTGAGTCTCCCTTTTTTCACCATTAAACCATAAAGTGTGTCAGTGTAACAACACACTAGAATCCTCAAGTCATCAGATAAACAACTGTTTACTTCTAATACAGCGTCTTATTAGGTGATTTCAAGCATGCAGCGTCGTAAACAGTAAAAGCATTGAGATTCTGCAGAGAACGACCTCGCTGCGGCATGAGGCAGTGGTGTGTGAGGTCATCAGGCTCGTCTGCTGTGGGTGGCAGACGCTTACAGTGGAGAAACTGAAGGAGGGAAGAATTAGATGCAGACGGAACGATCGGAGCAGCAAGTGACGGAACATGCTGCGTCGATCTGATCGCTTGCACGGACAGTGGAGGAGCGTGACGCGGCGCTGCCTGAGGCAACTGTTGGATGGCCAGGTGCCAGAAAGCGGGTCGTAGGTGGCTGCAGTGGTGAACGCTCCTGCGTGTTGGTTTGTGTAGTGAAACTAAAGCAAGCGCCGGCACACCCGGGCATCCTGAGAAAGTCGTGCAGCTACGGGAGGGTGGGGGTGCGCGATGAGCATGAAGGTGTTGGGTGGGGGTAGTGGTTAGCAACATGGGTAGGCAGGTGCCAACTCCGTCTCCACTGCGTGACTCACGATTTCTCCCCCTTTTTTGTGTGTCTTTTAGGGTCTTAAGCTGTCAATGCTACCAACGTTACATCATCCAAAGTGTTCTCTCATATTTTAGCTCAGAGAAGCACCTGTGTCCGAGTCCATGCCCTAGAACCAGAGCCAGCAGCACGAACGGTGACCATCAGGACAAACAAGCTCATCTCTCACCCGCACGGGGAAAAAGTCTGAATAAACATCACTTAAACTCCAAAGACTCAAATTTACTTGAAAGTCCTATATTTTTATACATCTGCAGCGGTCTCTGGCAGGAATGAGTGCCTTGTAAGTCGTACTATGTGGAAACAAAGCTGTGGTGTGCCTGTTACAGGAACTAGAAGTGAGCCACAGCAGAACTGAGCTGAAGCTGACAGGATTTGGAGGATTTCCTGATATCCCCGCCTCTGATTGGCTAACAGCAACGCAGCTCTACCGCTGACTCCCTTTGCTCTGTAACATTGGTGTTTTATTTTGTACAGGCTTCGCCTTTTAAGACTTGCTGCTTTTGGTTAACGTCTCTTGTTCGATTGGATGGCTAACACGAGACGTTATCCAATCAGAGCCTATACTCAGAATCTGGATTACAATATGTGGCCACTGTTTTATCTCCACAGATAAAACAGGCCTGAAGAAGTTCTGCAGTGTAATAGAGTTGTTAATGCTAATGCTGCTAACAGTTAGCTTCCACCGGCTGATACGTTCTCTGCTGTTTCCTGGACTAAACCAACAACAGCTTCCCTGTCGTGAGTCCAGATGGGTGAGTCCATCAACGTTAGTGACAGTGTGACGTAGATCTGTCAGGATTTTCTAATCCTAGAGTTTCACCGTCTGTTTTCTATCAGAAACTGATGCAGGAGATAGGTGTAGGAGACTATCTTCATGTTCAGCCTGCATGAAACACTCAAGAGTGACCGATTATTTTCAAAATTAAAAGTAAAAAATGGCTTCTCAATGAACCTGCTCTTTAACCAAGTTATGTCAACTAGTTCCACTAAACCTAGCTGCTTAAATGTAAAGAATAAAATACATTATTATATGTCGACAAGTTAAAAGTAAATGCATATTCCTGCTTACATCTGAGCAGCTAGGATTAGTGGGTGCAACTCAATCTGAAGAACAGAAAACTGCTGCGGTGCAAGAAAAGATAAATGATGACGAGCAAAAACATAACTTGGTGGAGTAAATTCAACATTTGATTTCTTAGAGTGTACAGAAACAAACAGAAGAGGTTTCCTCCGCTTGGGTTCCCCGTATCACGCCAGGTTTCCTGCCCGTCACCCCTAATCCCAGTGTGGACCAGCAGGGAACCTCTAACTGTCTGGATTTTTATGCTACCTTTGTACTGCTGCTACACAGAACTAGACGAGAGAATTACCCGAAACTCTACGTTTACAGTTGTGACCAAACCTTTCTGCTGGAAACAGTTATTCTCACAGTTCCCTTAGGAAGAGCATGTAGATGTCGGGAAAATGTACTCAACTGATCATAATTACCCTGATTAGGTAGTAATAACTGTTCCTGTGAAACAAGTGATCACAGAGCTATGTGATGTCACCGCCTTTAAAAAGGAACATATTATGGCTTATTTCTTAAAGAGCAAGTCAACCCCTACCAGAGTCTAACTCCACTCTCACTTGAAGTTTGAAAAATGCAAAAAATACTGTTGCCTGGCAGACCGAGAGGGCGGAGCTGCTAACAAATACACACACACAGGCTCACGACAGCATTGTGACATCATAATATACCAGTTTACATCATAGCATACCTCTTAGCCAATAGCGGTGGCAGATTTAAATTAAAATACAGTGCAGAGTTTTTACCTGACGACGGCACAACACTGCCAGTTTTAGGCAGAATATTTAAATTTTAACTAAGATGCACTGAAGTGCCAAATTATTCACTACATGTGTCTGCAGCACGATTAGACACTCGTTTATTTAGTTTATCAGCAAAAAAAAGTTTATTTGGGGGTGACTTGCTCTTTAAGTTACTGTAGTTTTATGGCCGATACAAAACATGATCTTTGCTCTAACTTCCTCTCACACGAAGCGATTTCAGCAGCTTTATTCCTGACAGTTTCAGTGCCTTCCAAAATGAGCCCTTTCAGGCCTCTGTTAAGGTGGTTTTCCAGGAAAACTACTCAAGAGAAACTGGACCGATGCAGCTCGGCCCAGCCACTGTTCCCAAGGACGCAGTTCAGTATTTTCCCTCCACTTTCTCCCCCTATTTTTAGTCTCTGCTCCGTTGAGGTACCCGGCAAGGCCGAGTCGACCTGGCAACGTGATTCTGGCTGCTGAATGGCTAGGGGGTGGAGTCACTGGTTGCTCTGGAGATTTTTGCTAAAGGTTTCACCGCCTGCAGCCATTTCCTCATTCAGAGTCTGACAATAAGCCATAAAACAGAGAAAAATGTCCATAAACACTCAACATTTTTCTGCTGAATTGTGTTTCTGTGGAGCGTACAAGTTACCTTACACTGTTTACTGATCACCTCATGTTATTTTGTCACGAGTAAAGATGCTGAGATTAGTTACAGTTTGATGAAAAGTGCTCCAAATGAGCTCACACGGCCCAATTCTGTCCCAATTAAAGAGCAAGTCACCCCCAATTCAACTTTATTTTTCTGATAAACTATATAAATGTGTGTCTAATCATGCTGCAGACACGTGTAGTCAATAGTTTAGCACTTTAGTGCATTCTAGTTACAATTTAAATTTTCTGCCTAAAACTGTCAGTGGTGTGCCGTTGTCAGGTAAAAACTCTGCACTGCATTTGAATTTAAATCTGCCATGGCTATTGGCTAAGAGGTACCCTAGAACGTTAGCTGGTACTGTATGATGTCACAATGTCATTGTGAGCCTGTGTGTGTGTATTTGTTAGCAGCTTCGCCCTCTCGGTCTGCTAGGCAACAGCATTTGTTGCCTTTTTCAAACAGGAAGTGGGAGTGGAGTAATACTCTGGTAGGGGGTGACTTGCTGTTTAACTTGTTCTGTGTTTCTGAAAATGAAAACATGAGAGTTGGTAACTGGTTTATGTGGCTACGGCGTCCCCAAACACATCTTATTTCCCTTTAGAGTCGACTGAATAATCACAACTATCTATCAGTGTCACCTGTGTAATCTGTAATAGTAATAAACTCCTGCACCCCTCCACCTGTCTATATGAGCTAAGGTGTTGCCTGGGCAACGTAAAACCAGCAGTTTAACCTTGTGATTATGGAAACGACCACAAAAAACAAACTAAAACGGAAAAAAAGGCAAATCAAAAAGATGCAAATTAACTTACGCCATAAACTAAAAACCTGAATAACGTTTTTTTGTTTTTCCTTGCGAGTGCTTTATAGAGTACAGAGTAACAGAAATGAACTGTGTGTGAATGAAACCCGACTCTGCAGAGCCGTAAAGCTCTCCAACATACTTTTATCATCGTCTGTGAAAGCTGGGGAAGCCCCTCGCTCTCACCCGCCCTCCGTTAATAAATCCAGCATTCCCGGCGCTCACATGGCCTCCTGCACAGAACTGAATTGAGCAACTGTGACCAAGAATGGGGAAGTAGCTCAGCGCCTGTCTTTGCACAAGAAGTTCAGGAGGACTGCAGAGTGAAAGCACAGAAAAGGAAATGGCTGCACTGTAGATAGCAACGACTGCCTGAGAACTGGGTCGACCGAGGCTTCAAATCAGTTCTAGTGAATTGTTTTGAAGCCGGTAACCAGTAACTACAGCAGGAAAACCAGCCGCAGCAGCACACAAATTCAGATTCGACACGTATTTTACCTGCATTGAAAACCCACTCTTTCCTCTGGAACTACAGCCTAAAGGAGAAAATATAACCTGAACGTGTCTTTGTTGTTGCCATTTGAATAAATAAATAAATAAATAAATACATTAGTAATTTCTGTGGCGTTTTAAACGTGGCTTTATCTGTGAAAGATAGTCATTTTTTACATGTTTTGCTCAGAGCTGAATCTGCAGGTTACACAGCACCGAGCATCAGCGCAGCTTCTTCACCCGTTCAGAACGATTCTACGCCGTTTGATTCTCTCGCAGCAGGTGGTTGTTTTCTACTTCACCAAGGTTTAAAACATCGTTTCAGCTTTATAATGATTATAATTTAGGCTTTAAAGAGTTTGTTCCAGAGCAGAGGCTGGCTAGTGGCTACACACCCTCCATCCTTCAGGCATCACATTGAGCAACCTAAAAGCTGCCTCCCACAAGCTGTGAGGCTCGTGAACTCTGACCCCAGTGCTGTCCTCTACTAGATTTTAGGTCTCAAATCTACTGCTGAATGACACTAAATGAGTCCTGCTGGTAATAAACATCGTTTATGCAGCCCTACAGTAGACATGCACCAAAAACAACAACAATAAGTGGTTTACTGGATAGCAGCTGAACCTACAGAGCTGTATGACGCTTCCAACAGCTGTCATTACACGGATTAGGAAGACTGTTCCAACCAGTGTTTTTAGCTGCCGATTATTGCACACAAAGTTCTCTAAAACTCAGTTTTATTAAAATAACTTTAAGCATATTTGACCAACTTGAAACCTTTTTGTTCGAATTCTAGTTTCAGGTTTCATTTTTGAAGAAAGATGCAATTTACATGCCATGTTTTACCAAGTTTAACTAAAACAAAGATGAGAGGATGAGTTTAAGCCAACATCGGGACCTGAGGTGTGAAAATCTGAGCCGAAACTTGTGATTTACGTCCTTTTTACAGCAAAGGAGCAAACGAGCATCTTGTGGAAAATGCTAGTAGGAGGCCTCACCATTGAAGGGGTTGATCCCTCTTGTGATCCTCTGAACGATCGCTTCTTTCACTTCCCTCCTCCTCACACACTGAATACCCAGGTTCTGGAAACTGTGTCAAAAATACCACAAAAGCACAAGAGAATGAGTTTGCTGCAGCAGCCTGGAGACAAAACGCTCAACAGACTGACCCACCCCAGCGCGTGGGAAGATCGGACATCAAACCCGTCCAGTTCGGCCCCGAGGACGAGCTGAGATGTTTAACCACCCTGACTTTTCGTCACGAGGGCTCCCAGACTTCACACAGCGAAATAATGACTCACTCACAATTTTACACATGCACACACACTCCAGCTCTCACACAAGCTTTGTTTTCTCTCCCTAAAACATCACAAATAAGAGTGATGTCACGCGGGGGGATTCCCACTTTGCCATCATCGTCACAGATCTGGTTTGATAAATATGCTTTGTGTGTGAGGAGTGTGTGTAATCTCAGTTGATTTTAAAGCGTCTCGGGGCTGGCTGGTTAATAATCCCCATCTTCTGAAACCATAATAAAGCCGGTTATTATTATGTGTCGGTGTTTGCATGTGACAGAGAAAGTGATGACAGTGTGCTGATAAAGACTGAGAGTGTGGTGAGCTGCTCTGTAGGACGACTGACGGCGAAGGCGGAGGAGGGTGGACTCACGCTATCACTCTGCGGTCTGGACCAAACTCGGCCTCGTAGAACCCGTCTTTGCAGTCCTTCCCCACCAAATCGTGTGGATGCGGCCGGTACGGCTCGTTTTTCGTCACCAGGTAAACCCGAACCTTCCCCTTACCGCAGTAATTCAGTATCTGTGAAGACAGTTCACATCTCATCACTTGTCTGAAGCTTTTCGCTTCGTCATTTCCTAAGATGAAATATTAAAAGTAAGCCGAGTGAATGTTTCCATCTGCAGACCCACCTGCACGCTGGGGTAGGTCCTGTTGTTGTCGGAGCTCTTCTCGCCAGGGATGCTCCCAGCAGAGCGACCTTCACACTTGTACCTGAAGCGCATCCCCCTCTGTTTGGGCTGCTCAAAGATCCGGACGGCTGGCTCCGCCACTGGGGGTGGGGGGCACAAAAAGCAGATTTAAAAATGACCGGTCAAGGAAACAAGTCCATTCCCCACTTCTGTCAGTCAGGATTAACAGCAGGTCATTCATGACAAAACAACAAAAGGATCATTTCCTGCATTTGTGGCTCGATCCATAACTCCAATATGAGTCCATTATATAATATATAATAATATTAGAAATAAAATTTGGAGAAACAGAAGGCTTTTGTTGATAGAAGACATTTTGACATGCCACAACAGGAAAACAAAGGTGTAGGTGATCAAATGGATGCTGGCTGGCTACCATTTAGTCTCACGGCTTGCAGGAAGTGACAGCTTGTATCTTTGATACTATGATGGCTCTGTTTGTGCTAATTAAAGTCTAAGAAAGCAGAACAGAAAAAAAATGACCAGCAACCTCTGGAGCCAGATTGAGTTTTGAAACTCTAGTTCCTCATAAAGTTTTATGCCCGGATCTTTACACAAACCTGGTTGGTGCAATATGAACTGGTTTAACTAAACTCAACACAATTTCTACAGATTTATTGAGCAGCAGATTAATATCTGGGCTTGAGATTGAGCCCCGTTTTCTTAAAAGAAAAAGCATTTTTTACCCGTTTGTGAGACAAAACTGGCTGCACATGACGCCTGTGTGTGAAAGGGGAACTAAAACTGATCTGGGAAGCAGTTTATCTTCAGCAAACTGCATTTGAACAAATGTAACAGACTGAACTGTGGTTTTCTCTGAGCAAAGCGAGAGCTACTCTCTCATCAGTATAAATCAGATGAGTCTTTTAATCCAGTCTGATACGAGTAAGGCAACATTTCTAAAATATCTACGCACTGACTCCCCAGTTCTGCATTTAGAAAGCTCTGGTCACCAATGATACAGAAGCTAAAACACATTTATGACCCCAGAGATAAAGATTATAGGAGCCATCACACCTGCCAAACCAAAATGTGAAATGAAACAACACACAGCAAGAGTTTTTCTCTTTTAAATAATATTTTAGTGATTATTTCTAGGGAAAAGAACTTACTCAGGTATGGATCATTGTCTAGCATGGAGGGCAGGGGAGCTGAGGAGGAGATAACATTTAGATCAAACTCATTTAGACACGTAAAGCTGCACTGAGTGGTAGTTACACCCTAACTAATCAATGTTTGGTCAAAAAGTCGACCAAAACTGCTATTAATCACTGCAAAAACAAGACAGCAAATAAAATGTTTTCAGTTCAACTAAAGTAAACTAAAGGTGATAACGCATTAGTTTGTGGTGTTAGCTGCGGTGTTTAACTGAGTCAGGTGTAGCTAACCCTAACCGCTCTGACACGCAGAGTAAATAAACATTCTGCTACTCACCATCCATGATGCACTCAACAGAAGGTTTTAGTACAGTCACGACTTCGCGCTTGGCAGGAGAACATCAACCCGAATGAGTAAAAGAGACCAGAACAACTTTTTTTAAAATATTTTTTGTCATGAGTCTGTTCGGGAAATTCCCCTTCGTCTGCCTCTTCCTCAGCCAATAGCATTATCCGCTTTGTGGACACGTGATTTATTGCGTCTCCTTTAGTTTAGAGCGCGAGCGGAAGTTGACTGGATCGTCCCGTCGGTTTTCCTTGTTTAACTGTTTAAGCGTTCTTTGTACAGTGACTTGATAAACTTTTCTGTCTTCCATCGATAGTTTCAAACTCACAAAATGTTCTATTAGCGATACAAACGAGTTGAAACCAACCAGATGCGTGTTAAGTGAACCCGGAAGTGGACAAATCAAAACAAGAGCCCGCATCCCTCTAGTTCTATAAGCCACGCCCCCTCCGTGTAAACAAACGATCCTTTTCTGATTCATATAAAACAACACCTCAGATATTATTTTTCCAAGGGTGGATTTTTAATTTTATTAATTCCTACCATCAAACGTGAAAATATTAATATTTTTTTCCCTTTATACATCTCTACTTCCAAAATGAAACCATTATTTCTGGATGCTCCACTAAATCACCTTGTGTATCATTATTTTCTTATGGGTTTTATTTAAAAAAATATTTTCATGTTTATATTGTTTAATTAGGGTTATTTCATATGTTTATGTCACAGTCCTGTCCCTTTAAAAGGCATCGGCTTTTGCTAAGTTTAATTTGGAAATGAGAAATTTATCACAGCTCCATAAAAAAAACTTTCTTTTAAACCCCTTTCTTTTTGGCTTTAGGTGTGAGAAAAAAAACGCATAATGCACAAAATACACAATTCTAGAGTGGACCTTCTGTTACAGAACCCAATAAGGCACAAAACCCCGTTGGTATGTTGTTATTGTTCCTCACCACACATTTATGCAAATGTTTCTCCTCCTGTACAAAGAGCCAGGTAAATGTTTCTCAACCATGTGAGTCTTGCAATTAAAGCTCATCTCAAAATTGAAAAACAAAATTTAAATTTTACAACTTCTTTTGGATTTAACTCCAACTTTCAAGATGTTTAATTCCAGTTCCTGAACTTTTTCTAACATGTATGGCTTGCAAACCAGTTTCTTTGCATAAAAAGAAAAAAAAAGAAACAAACAACAGGATTCATAATAAACCAGCCAGAACTGAACAAAAGCTAAAACTATTTCCCCCAAAAGATCTACTTTTGCTTAAACTCTGGAACAAATCTTACCTTGCTGGAAACTGAAACATTTTAGATTAGGTTATGGAGTACTAGAAAAATAATCCACCCATTAAACAAACGTCCACTGAGCAGTCAGTTCTTTAATGAAATAGTTAACTAAACAATAAAAAACACAGATTTGTTTTTAGGGGTTTAATGAATGTATGGATTCATTTAAAGGAAGTGATAAACACATACAAAAATACCCTTTTGATACATTTTAGAAACAAACATCTAAATGTTTCCAAACAGCAAAATGAGTGAATCTGAATCAGTGATGCTGAATTTGTTCAAAAAGCTATGTATGCTATTAAAACAAAAGGTCACATGGTACAAATATAAATAAAGAGATAAGAAACCCCCAATAATGAAAAAAAAAAAAAAAACTCAAAAGAAAAAAAAACTGTCTTTTTAGGAAAAAATGCCCTCTGTACACTTAGTTTGGGAAAACCGATTCTGGGGAGAAGAGCTCACGTTGTGTTTCTACCTGTCTGAACGGGAAAGGAGCCTCAGTATCCCTGTACACAGCGCTGGACACGTTCGTCCTTTGGGTTGAGATGAATGGGTTAGGGCAGGGCCACCACCACCACCACCACCATCTGAAACATGTTTTAAGAACCTCCACAGGAGGCACAGAGGGCCAAACACCCAAAACAGGGATTTCATTCTCTCTGACACGCGCACTCAAAAAACTTCTCAAAAAACATTCAAACTATCCATTTTTCTCACCAAACACAACTTTATGGTGGATCTGAGATGTGCTGATGACCAGGTACAGCTTGGGGTGAAGGGTGTGTGGTGATGGTGGTGGTGATGGGGGTGCTCCGCCTGTATTTCTAATTTGTATCCGTAGGTTTGTGTTTAACTCTAGTGATATCAGAAAGGCCCACATGGTTCCAACACGTTCCTAAAAGGTCTCACGTTGCAGTAACGAGTAGGCAGAGAACTCACCGAACCAGATGCGCAACAAGAACTTCTGCTGGAGAGAGAAGATACGCACAGTTCTAGTCTGGTTCTCACATGAACAAGATAAAAACGCATCAATTCTCGTTGTGGTGAAGATGACTTTCCTGGGTCTTACCAGCACCGGACCAGACGTGGATCAGCTGGATTCTAGCAACACCAATACTAACCTGGAGCCGGAGCCGAGCAGGTCCAAAGCCCGTTTCTGCTTCCTGTCACATCAAATCAAACCCTCAATGTTCTCCATCTGCAACTGTATCTGAACCTATACAGTGTCCACAAAATGTCCCCAGACGTGGAGACACTTTGTGTTTGACAAGCAGCAGAAAAACAAAAGAAAAACAACAAAATAAAGAAACTAAATCATATTTTTTTAAACTTTTTCCTCTTTAGATAAAACTGCAGTAGAATGATCAAAAGACTCAACAGTGTTCTTGTTTTCCCCCAAAGACAAAACTTATGTACATCAACATTTACAGAATAGACTTTTGTAAGAGAAAAACAAAAACAGCTCACACCAAAGATTTGGACAGCAAGCTGGGCTATTTTTAGAACATGTTATTTTGGGGTAAAAAGAAGAATGGCATAAAGAACAGCTCGTCTTTTGTTTGAACTCGGAGAAAAGGGAGGAGCTGAATAAAAAAACCTGCTGCTGTAGTTCTCGTGTCCCGTCTCTGACAGCACTGAACCCCCCGTCCACAGGCCAGTCTGGAATCTCTGAATGATCTGAGGTGAGGTGTCTGTCCTGCTGTGTCATGTGTCAGACTGACAGACCTGGACAAGCGTCTCGTCCCCGTGTGGACTCATCCTCTTGCTGTGTGACTTGACTGTGAAACCGGGTCTGGATCCAGTTTGTTTGTCGTGTCTTCAAGATGTGTGGATTCTGTCTTTCTCCGTTTCTTTCAGCCTCTTGGTTTGTTCCTCCAGAGCGGGAGAGTGGGGTCGCTTAGACGCCGCTCCGTTCAAGGGGTCGGCAACTCTGCTCACTAGAGTGGGGATGGAGCTGCCGACGGGGGGAGTCACGTGTTTGGACGCCGCGTGTTCTACGGAGGAAAAGAAACGGCGGAAGAGAGTTAACGACACCAACAGATTTTTATTAAAGAGAATCTCAATTTCTGCGATGTGAAAAGATAAAAGCTGTAGTTCCATCAGACGAGTTCTGGAAAATATGACGGCTCGGTCGTCTCAGCCGTTGCATCTCCATTCAAAACCGGCCTTTTCAGGACTTTGCTAAGACGTCGGCACACCGTGACCGTTTGGGCTGTTAATAAACATCACTGATCAGCAGTACAAATGCGTTAATGGACATTAAAGAGCAAGTCAACCCCTACCAGAGTATTACTCCACTCCCACCTCCTGTTTGAAAAATGCAACAAATGCTGTTGCCTAGCAGACCGAGAGGGCGGAGCTGCTAACAAACACACACACACACACTCACAATGACATTGTGACATCATATGGTACCAGCTAACGTTCTAGGCTACCTCTTAGCCAATAGCGATGGCAGATTTAAATTCAACTGCAGTGCAGAGTTTTTACCTGACAACGGCACAACACTGACAGTTTTAGGCAGAAAATTTAAATTTGAACTAAAATGCACTAAAGTGTAAAACTATTGACCACACGTGTCTGCAGCACGATTAGACACACATTTATATAGATTATCAGAAAAAAATAGTTGATTTGGGGGTGACTTGCTCTTTAACTACGTCTGTTCAGGGGATGCGATAGGATGGCAGCTGTGCAACGTAAAGATTTAATGACTGAAAGAAATGAGTTTGTTTCTACGACGATCACAAAGCGGTGTGAATCACGGCGTTTCGGGGGGAATTCGGCTGTATTTTTCAGCATTGGGAGTTTAGCAACAACATTTTAAAGCAGTATCAAAGGTGCTCATTTTCTTTACTTTCGGTCCTGATTTCACCAGCTAATTTTCCAGTTTTACAAACGCAGTTTTATTGTGGCATCTTCCAATATTGTTTCCTACTGAGTTACAACTAAACAACATGAGTTAACAACAAGTCTTGCCCAGTGGCGCTTATACCCGTGTGTGTCTGTCTGGCAGCAAACTACAGCACGAACCATGAGACGACGGTGGCAGAGGAGTTAAGAGTCTCTGAGATGGAGGGTGACAGGACTGAGTTTCGAGTCTGTTGCAGCAGTTGTGTCCTTGGGTAAGACACTTCACCCTCACCTGCTGGTGCCGGTTTACGGCCCAGGGCAGCTGTGGCTACAATGTAGCTCATTACCACCAGTGTGTGAATGCGCCTTGGGGGGGGGGGGGGGGGGGGGGGGGGGGTGTAGAACCATAGAAGGCGTTATACAAATGCAATGCATTTCACATAATAATAATAATAATAATGCATTGAACTTATATAGCGCTTTTCTAGACACCCAAAGACGCTTTTCACACACTCTCACATTCACACACTGCTAGTGATGGTGAGCTACTTGTAGCCACAGCCGCCCTGGGGAGGTCTGACAGAGGCGAGGCTGCCATTTGGTGCCGTTGGCCCCTCTGACCACCACTAACACAGGCAAGTTGGGTGAAGTGTCTTGCCCAAGGACACAACAGCAGGATACCCCTGGCGGGAGCCGGAATCGAACCCATGACCCTCCGATCATGAGGCAACCCGCTCTACCACCTGAGCTACTGCTGCCCCAAATCATGAACCAGCATGACAGATTTTAATTAAACTCTCAGGTAGGGCTGCACAATATTAAGAAAACCTGCGATACTCGATAACAGTGATTAATATTGCGATAACGATATTACTTGCGATAAATAAAAACTTAACCCAGGAACAAAAATAATCAACAAGAAATTAAAAAAAAAAATCATAAAAATGAGGAAAGCAAAAGATGTGAGGAAAGGGAAAAAGAAAATGATCAAGGAAAGGCGATCAGTGTATCCCGGGAAAAGCAGAATCAGTAGAAGGAGCAGAACAAAGCTAACTCAGGTGTTTGCTAACCATTAAAATTAGGTGCCGTCCACCTCGGGGGCGGACATCTGACCTATGAGAACCTACCCAATTGGCCAAATGGGTGAAGAGCTCTATTTGATTTGTTAAAAAAACATCATGCTTCCGTCTGATTGACAGAATGCATCATGTGTAGCGAACATTTGACCTGACCATTCATTGCGATATTTATCAGTTCTTTGCGATATGCATTTTGTGCAATGCTGATATCGCGATAACAATATATTTACGATGTATTGTGCAGCCCTACTCTCAGGGTAATCACTGGATGTTCAACCCATTTCAATATGGCCACCACAGCAAATAACCATAGAAAGCATAAAAATGCCATAAATTTAGCTTAGAGCTAAAATTGGGTGTTTTAGGAGCTCGAAGTTATTCACAACACAATCTCCTACAACCACGAGTAACATCGTCACATTCAGAGGAATCTTTTCCAATAAACTCCATTTTTATACCAATGTTTTAGAAGTGGGGCTCTCAGTCCTCCGGGTTACCTCTTCCAAGAGAACTCAATACATTGTTCTGTAAACTGATTAAAACCCAAAGTTTCAACAAGTTTGTTATTTTCTGAGCGTTTTCACACCTGCAGTGTTTAAAATCTTACATGGTGGTTTGTATTTTGTAAAGAAAATATAACCCAAAATCAACTATTAAACATATTTATTCCTAAAGTATTTACTTTCGCATAGCCAGCTTTCCCTGATCTGATGATTCAAAGCTATCACAGCTCCCACAGACCCAGAGGAACAGCACCAACACTACTAAGTCATCAACACGTCTAATAATTAAACAAAAACACAGTTTGGACCTCTGAGCTACCGTAGCAGCTCTAATCAACCAATAACATTTATTTTACTAATTGTGTTTTAATCAAATGTTTGAATGCTGAATTGCTTATAGGTTTATAAAGTCCAAACAGGCATTTTGTGGTAGTTCATATTAATTCTAGTTTGATTAAAGTAATTTTGATCTTATAAAGAAACAGCTCGACCCTGCCACCTACTGGTGTAATCAGGTAACTGCAGCAGAGGCTCATCTTAAATTGTCATAGTTGTGCAATTAGGAGAAAATCTATTTATGATCAAAGTGTATAGCTGTGGATATCATCGTTAAAGCTAAAAATATAAAGGAAACAGATTTGAATAAATAATCTAGTGCGCCCTAAAGGGAGGTGGGTGGTAGGCATTTGTGTGTGTTCAGTATTTTAGGACCATTCTGTTGGAGGTAAATAACCTGCCCAACACATGAACATCTTGATGTAAGGTGTTTATCAAACTAAGCCACACTCCTCTTCAGCAGAAAGATACGGGTCACCTGAGAATGACTAAACCCAACAAACACAGCAAAGCAGTGGAAGCCAAATTCAAACATTTTCATGCACTTGTGTCTACAACTAATTTCAGCTTAATATTTGACAAACAGGTTCATTAATGAAACACTCCAGAGGATCTCCTGAATGTTGCTGATGGCGAAGAAACAAACTCACTTGAACCAATGACAGGGATGGACATGCCTTTCTCTTCGCTGGTGGGAGGAGCCTCAGTAGTAAGGGCGCCATCAAACACAGGGGGTTTGGGAGGCGTCATGCTATGCACACATTTAAACCAAAAGGTCATGTGAGGAAAGTGCAAGAAGAACAACGGTTATGTATTGCAACCCCAGATTCGATAAATATAGGCGCAGCCCTTTAAGGCTATTTGCTATTGGGTGCACCCAGCACAACAGCTTCCTGGTCACGCTCAGGAGCAAGGCGGAGCGCACCTTGCCTGGGCGATTAACGTTGGTGGCTGTAACTCTGTTTTCTATCGAATCAGTACGTGACTACATTCCACGCTATCAGAGGCTCCAGAACATTTATGTGTGCCGACATATGGGAAGGCTGCTCTCCCACTGTGTGGCACGGGCATGTTTATCCCCAACCCATCAGGGGGAACTTCCTCCAGCAGGACGTTGAGATTCCCCCAGGGAGACACAAGGAGTGACCCATGGAGGGCAGCACATGGAAGGACATCGGACGATGCCCTGTGGGGTGGTCAGACCCCAGCTCCATACTAGTACCCTGAAGGGTAATAGGCGCATGAGGAAGATGTGCTTCAGCATGTTCCAGATGTGGCAGCTGGGTTGTGTGCAGCACCAACAAAAAGGCGTAGTCCAATGAGAGGAGCTGCTTCCATGCTAAACGCGATTGTGAATGCCTCAAAATGAACTCATTCAAGCTGCAGGGCACATCATCGAGAGCGATGCAGTCTTGGAGCACAGAAGCACCAAAGCACGGCCGAGTGGTACTACTCGTTCTGGTGCTAAGCGTCGCTGTGCTATAACAGACTGACCTGCACCACAAGGGTGCTCACCAAGTATGAGGATCATGTGCTGAGGGACACCAGCTGGTTTGTCTGAAACATCTGCGGAGCTCGACTCAGGACAGGTGGAGACTGGAGCCTTCAGCTTGGCAGGCTCAGATGTGGCTTTAGCCAAGTACTCCATGCCAGAAACTGAGGCCAGATCGGGTCATGACAACGGACCTGTGTGGCATGAAACCTGCCCACCAAGTCGTCCGACGGTGGCGGGGCCGATTAGCTCCTCCCAAGATGAAGGCAGGCAGCTCCTGAAGCAGAACTCGGACGGTCAGGAGAGGCATGAAGGATGTTGTTGGGAGGCCGGTGATCAAAGCACCGCCATGCTTTCGACTGTACTCAGTCTCTCAAGACCGGATGTGTTAGCAGGACTGCTGCTGCACGCCTTTGTCATGGTCATCAGCTCAAACAGTCGTCGGACTCTCGCCCTGCAAAAAATAACTCAACAGCCTTGTCCAGAGGATAGCTGCTAGCAACCGGGAATATATTTATTAGGGCTGTCACGGTAACCGCAAAAATGAAATATCGCAATATGAAGAAGCCCACCGCGCTGCATCATGCGCCACCGCGATTACTGAACTTGATTCAACTCAATGATGCATGTTGAGAAGGATGGCTGCACTGGTATCAAAACGAAACGTTACTTCGCTCCTTTGGGAGCACTTTGGTTTTCAGTACGTCAGCTGCTGCGCAGCCAGGGTCCTTGGCCAGGGCAGAGCTGCCACCAGCGGCAAAAAATAATAATAAACGCTCGGAGACCTGCTGAAGTCCCGGACAAGCACTGCTTCTGCAACCGTCCCGAAGAGAGCTTGAGCTGAGCTGGAGCTCACTCGCTACCTGCAGGAGGAATGCATCCACCCTAAAGAAACCCCCCTGACACGGTGGAGCAACAACCGGGAGAGATTCCCTTTGCTCGCCAGTCGCACGCAGGTACGTGTGCGTTAGCGCAACGAGCGCACCATCCGAGAGGGTTTTCAGTGTTGCTGCAAATGTTGCCCCCCCTCTCAGATCCTCTCTCAAACTGTATATGGTTAACATGCTGGTTTTCCTTGTGGGCAACAAGGACGTGACCGAGCTATAAATCACCGTCATTCGTGTGTGTGTGAAAGTGAAAGTGAAATGATAGTGCCCCGCGCCCGGTACATGTGATTTTTTATGCTTGATTTTAAACAACTAAACAAAATGGGGACTTGTTTCTTATTTGTTAGATGCTGCAGCCAAATTTGCATTTAAAAGTTTAACCTTCTCCTGAATTTTGTTTTTAAGTTCAGTCGGACTCCGACTGTCGGACAAACAAACGTTACTGCGATCTGTGTTGTTACTGCCCTTTGATCTGCATTCAGTAAAGTGTTATTAAAGAAGGCACGGCAATTTTTAACCTTTTTTAAATGTGTAAACATTATGTTTAGATAGTACTGCAATAAAAAAAAGTGTTGCAATATCGCACGCCGCAATATTAAGCCACCCTGAATCACCGCAAGGGGAATTCCTCAACCGCGACAGCCCTAATATATATAGTGGCAGATGTGAAAAATTACACCCAAAGCAGCTTCTCATTTGGGCAGCATGACACCAAGAGGGCAGGTGGACAAGGCGAGGCCTGCATGTTGAAGCCGAACAGCATCACTGGACACGATGAAAGGGTTGGATAATTACTCTTAATCACCTTGGAAAAGTTGCAGAGGAGAAAACGGGAGCAGATCCCTGCTCCAGTCTCCATCCTATACCAGACCAGGACCCGCCCAGTAAGCGGGCATGCATTAAAGTTCTTCAGTGATTGGTTGGTTAGGGAAGAGATGTTACCCAATAGCGAATAGCCCTAATGGGCGAAGCCTATAAGAAACCAAACAATAATAACTAAGCTCACTTGGTGCGGTTGAGGGCCAGTTTGATGGAATTTTTAACAACACGACAGCTGTTGCTGGCCGGGAGGGGCGATGACGCATCTGGCAGCTCCATGCTGGGAAGTCTCTGAAGCAGCAAACAACAACATACCTTTAAAAATCATTCACCTTAAACCGTCCTCAAGTTCAACAACTTAAAAGACAATCTACCTGTGTTCTTGAGGTATCGATTGTTGGAATGGGTTTTGCTTTTACTTCAGGCTGAGGAGGCTGGTGGGGAGGTGTGAAGAAGGATTTTACTGTTTACCCTGAGCTGAATAAAGAGAAGTAATAAAAAAATGCACTTACAGTACTTGGCGCGTCTCCGTGTGGATTGGTTTCCGACGATGGAGGATATGGCTCTTTAAATATACAGTCGTCATTCAAGGCCGGCTGCTAAAAACATAAAATAATTACACAAACCTTTAAAACTGTCATCTCTACTGAACTCAACAGGTTGCGGCAAGAGCTCCTTTACATCTTTGTGTCTCTTGGCCGCCTCCTCTTGCGTGGGGGAGTGTGGTCTCTTGGCAGGGGCTCCATTGATGAGGCCGTTGGGTTCCTCTTTGGGACTGCTGGTGGCGCTGGGCGTCACATCCTCACTCAGGACTGTGGTGGTTGAGGTGCTGGCAGGAGGAGGAGAAGCAGGCTTCGCTTTACCAGGAGGCTCTGCAGAACAAAGAGAAAAATTAAGGTAATGTTCCGAGTAGAAAAATCTGTCGCGCAGCTATTTGGAATTCATATTTGTGGCATTTTAACGGACTTGAGCCGATGACCGGGATGGACAAGCCCGGCTCGTTGGCGGCAGTGGTTGTGCTTGGTGTTGGGGAGTCCTCTACAAAGATCTTCTTGGGGGGGCTGACTCTGTAAGACAACCCAGAAAAAGCACTCAGCACCAGGTTGTGGTCTTATTTGAGGGTTGTAATAACGAAAAACAATTTCATCAAACCCTTCGTTCGTTTCAGACGGAGGGGCTTTGCTGTTGGGAGAACTGAAGGGGGTCCCCGAGTCCGTCTCTCTGGAGCTGTCCAGGGCACTGCCGTCCAGAGAGATCCGCTTCGAGCTTTCACTGTTGGAGCTACGGTTCAACTCTGCTATGCTCTGAAAAAATAAAAAATAAAAGACATAAGAGACATAAAACCCACACAAGAACAGATCAGAACAACTAAACCAGAGCTGCAGAGAGATTCTGACCCGTTTCTTTCTCTGCACCAGTTCAGGAGGGAGGTACTGATGCAGCTGTTTCTTCTTCACATGTGTCGCTTCGATCTTCATCCCGTCCTTCAGCATATTGATGTTGTTGGCTTGCCTATAAACTGTATAAAAGCATTTCTAGTTAGAACTGTTCAGACCAGCCAAACCAACTTTAACACGTTTGAGCATTTTTGAAACCCGACCCATATTTCTGGAGATTTACTTTATGAAATCTAAAATATTTTAGATTTCATAACAGTATATACGTGTATATGCAAGTCTATTGGGATATTTTCTGTGATTTTATTTAACGTAAGAGTAGGAACACTCTTAAAAACTGAACTACTCATTGTCTAATGTTAATGAATCAATATAATTAGGGCTGCAACAAACAATTATTTGGATCATCGATGAATCGGATGGGGTCTCAGCTCGATTAACCGGATTAAACGGGAAAATTAAAAAACCTCTAGGGAAACAACAAAACATGATTCGAAAACAGTTCAATAGCATGCAAAACAACCTGCCATCACCAAGAAATATCCATAATTAAACTATGATCAGTAAAATTTTATGTATTTCATTAACATGTTCAGTAGTAAGCTATGGAAATGCTAATAACATTTAATTTCTACAGCTAAAATGCAATGGTGACATTTCTATTATGTAGGGATTAGCAATAGTCCAGTTTAAATTATGTTCACAGACGTGTTTGTGAATTACATGCAACAGTGGCTTGTCATAAACCTGCAGCGGTGTTGAGCGGAGCAGACTCGAAGCAGCAACCTGACTGCAGCGGTTCTGCTGCAGACAGCTAAGAATAAACAGAACGATGGGGACTTTTCTTTTGCTTGTAGAGTTTAGATATTCTTAGTTTCACGACCATCGTGTTTTGTTGGAACCCCACTTGATTGTGAGCCTGGCACCGGCTAGCATTAGCTATTCTGCCCGTAGTTGCCCTTTTGATCCCAAACTTTGGATCATTTCTGCCTTTGCTGGTTCTCCGTTTTCCTCCACAGCACCTAGATTAGCACACTGTGTGCCAGTAAAAATCATCTTCCTTACACAATAACAAGCAACTTACCTTTGTTCAATTAAGTTCTGAGGAAAAAAGTAACTTGAAAAGATGTTGTACAATTCATCGCACACAGAGAATTTTTTTGTCGCACGTGCGACATATATGTCTCTCTCATTCTGATCCACCTCGGTCTGCTCTGCTGCTGCATAGACTGTTACATAAAGGTTGTGCGACACAAAAAAAGTTGCACTATGTATTTATTAATTTATAGAGCACCTTCCACAACCTTTAGCTGAAGCCCACGGTGCTGAACACAACAATAAACAGGCAATCACATCAATAAAAACAATAAAAATAGAAACTGAATAAAAAAACAGAGAACAATTGTTAAACAATTAAAATCAAGACACAATTGCAGACCCCAGTGGTGAAAATGCCTCTACATAATAATGGGCCTTCAGACATGACTTCATCTGGAAGGAAGGCGCCAGCCTAACAGTCAAAGGTAGACCGTTCCACAAAGTTGGAGCAAGGACCTCGAATGCACGATCTCCCCTAGATTTGCATCTGGAACGAGGGACCACCAGTAATTCCTGGTCACCAGAGCGGGGACATGCCTTTGTAGTAGGGTTGTCATGGTAACCGGTGTAGCGGTAAACCCCGGTAAAAAAGTTGACAATAATAATAACAGTCGTTTTTAAAATAACATATTATCTAAGTGGGTTTACTGTGGCTGCGGTGTAGGCGCGGTGACCCTTACCAGCCACCGTATCATCTGCTGAAGTTGCCGGCAGCACATACGCAGTTTGTTGTTTACAACCAAAACTTTCTTGAAGCTAAAGCTGAAATAATGGCCAAAGGAGGAGACGGCAGCGTGCAGGACATTTATTATCCCTCAAAGAAGACAAAGTGGGAAGTACGGGCATGTTTTGGATATTTGAAGAATGCCGAGGGACAGTTGATAGTAGAGCCCTGCACTGAAGCCCTAGGCCAGGGGTCGGCCTTCGGGCCAACGACGGTGTAATTACCTCGAACACGGGCCGGGCGCTTTTATTTTTAATCGAATTCATAAAAAAAAAACTAAAAAAAAACTGAAACACTTGAACGCAGCAGCACCTGCCTGCTTCTCACGCACCGTTAGCTCAGTTAAGGTCTGTGTGGTTTATAAATGTTCCAGAACATGTTTGATTTTGGCCCTCTTTTATGTTGAATCCATTCCACAGTTTTCATTGGGACACTCAATCCATCCACTCAATCCAAATGTGTTTCACACATTTGTCCTTTACCGGAATGTTTCATCTTATAATTTCCATTTTGTATTTTGTAATTTGTATTTTGTAATTTGAATTTCTTTTATTGTTGATTTTTTCAATATATTTACCTACAACTGTACCATGTTCAGCGCTTTGGGCTTCCTGACAGGGTTGCGGAAGGCGCTTTATAAATAAAGCTTTGATTGATTGATTGATTGATTGATTGATAAATGCGCCTATGTAAACAAATTCTCAAACTGCTGATTAAAACATGTGCCCCTATTCTAATATGCCATTTTATGTCCACTTTGATGTCAGAAACCATTAGTTGATTCTCATGAAAACGGCTGCATTCCATTTTTCTGTGAATAAATTCGCTCTGCAATAAAAAAAAATACAGCATTCATTGCTGTCTTTTTTTCTAACTGGAGATTGCATTTTCAGAGCGGCAGATAAAATTTTATTAGTTTATTTAATCTGCCGCTCTGAAAATGCGCTCTCCAGTTAGAAAATTAGAATGCTGCTTTTTTTCTCCTAATTGCACAAGAGCACATTTTCAGAGCAGATTAAATTTACAAACGCATCCAATTAATATAGTGTTCGTAAATTTCATCTGCCGCTTGAAAAATACGCTGCTAGAAAAAAAAGCTGCATTGATGCAGTTTTTCTTTCTTTTCTTTTCTTTTTACTGCAGAACGCTTCTCGCAGATAATTAGAATGCTGAGCATTCTATCACGCTAAAACATTATGAAAGGTTAAAAAAAAAGTCGGATTGGGCCAGAGAATCCTGAAAACCTTTTCGGACCAGGTCAGGCTGGGGCTCCACACCCTCGGGCAGGGCCGGACACGGGCTCAGATTTTAGGCCCGTGCAGGGCTCTAGTTGATAGAAGACGGCTATCCTGTTTGCAGCACGTGCAGAAAAAGTGTCTGTGAAAGGCAGCAACGCTTCAAATCTCATGACACACCTGCGTGACCATCACCCACAACTCTACAGTCAACGCAAGGCAAGCTAACGTTAGCGTTTTAGCTAAAATGTGTGATCCGAGGATTTGGGTTGAGGGAGAATGCAACGAGTCGCTATATAAAGCAGCCGCAGCGCCGCTACCTGCATGTAAACCGTGTCGTGGACACCCCCATGTTGAAATGAAGCTATGCATTACGGGGCTCCCAGGGGCAGATAAGAGTTGGTCTCTCTCCGAGAATAATTAAGAATTTAACAATGATTACTGCCTGATGACATTTTCCAACATCTGCAAAGCTCACTGGAAGGACACAAACCGAGGACAATATTTTCCTGATATAGGGTTTATTATTCAAGTAAGGGTAAAAAAGTATCTGATTAGAAGGCTACTTGAGTACTGAGTATCATCTGGTCTATCATTTTTAAAATGATGACATCAAACAGACAAAAATAAGAAGTTAAGGGCAAATATTGGTATTTTAAACTCTAAAGGGGAAAAATGTAAACAAATAAACAACATAATTACAAAATAACACATTTTAGGCTAAATTTAGACACAAACTGAGGACAATATTTCCTGATATACGGGGTTTATTTAGTTGTCTGAAAATGTAACACGTTTAAAAAAAATACCGCGATAATACAAAAAACCGTGGTAATTTTGGTCACAATAACCACGAGGTTACATTTTCACACCGTGACAACCCTACTTTGTAGCACTGCTGATAAATAGGTAGGAGCAGTACAGTGAAGAGCCCTGAACACGAGCATCAGCACTTTGAAATTTGCTCTGTACTGCATAGGAAGCCAGTGGTGTTCATCCAACACTGGTGTGGTATGGACATGCCGTCTTGTGCCTGTCAGAAACCTAGCGGCGGAGTTAAACACATTTATTCATCAATTTTTATCAATATGTTGTTGCAGCCCTAAATATAATAATCAGTTTTATCATTCTATAACGAAAATGACTAATAAATAGACAAAACGGGCCCTTTCCACCTGCAGATCCTCCACCAGGGGGCAGCAGACACATGTAGGACAGGATGTGACAGCTTTCTGAGGAAGGCACTAATCATCCTTACTGATTTGTACACAGTGACATAAAAATCCCACCACCTCTCTCACCTGTTGGCGAGTGAATTTCTAAAAAGTAAGTTCCATCAGATTGAGACCCACCGGTGTCAGTGAAGGACTGGATGTCGAACGTTAGGTCAATATTAACGCTCTCTGCGTTCTCCACCTTTTTGAAGATGATTCCAATGAACCACATGGAAACAAAGTCATTTCTGTAGGACAAACAAACAGCAAAGAGGGGTTTAATAGCTCGTTATAGAATAAGCAATAACTAAAGGTTATGTATTTGACAGATGCTTTTGTCCAAAGCGACTTACAAATGGGGAATCAAAGAAGTTACGTTTGAGGCTGAGAACAAAACTACCTAGAGGGCAGAACACTAGAGAGCTTGTAGGAGGTGATGGTGTAGAAGTAGTGTGTGTGAATAAGGAAGGGAGTGCACTAAGAGTGCAGTCGAATAAGAGAAGCAAAGTGCAGTCTAGGAGAAGCTCTCTGAAGGTCTGACAGGGACGCTTGTTCTGGTAGCTCAGTAGCTCGTTCCAACATCACAGAACAAAGCTGGCTACACGCTGCTCCCAATAGGTTCACCACAGTGTCAGCGACGTATTACACTGTGGTGTGCTTCTGATTAAAACTGATGAAAACTACAGAGACCAGCAGGTTCTGATTCTGACGGTCAGAGAAGCATCAGACCGCGCTTAGCTCTACGACATGGCTAGTAATGATTAAAAAAGAGAAACCTTTACAAACAGGTTCTGCTTTAAGATGAAGTTATGATTGTTTATCCGAGTTTGAATGTGTTTATTAAAGGAATCGGAAGATGTTCCAGTGTGAAGGACTTGAGTATCTCTAAAGCCTTCAGAGTTTGGAATAATTAGAGGACACAACTACTGTACTACAGAAGAGTTTTCTGCTAAATCCCTCGTGCAGCTCTGCATACGTGTTGAGAATATAACTGTGTGTAAAAAAACAAAAAGAAGAAACTCCATTGAGTTAAACGTTGCTGGACAGAGCTGTGAGATCATTAATAATAAAAAACTGATGCTCAAGGTGGTTTTAGGAGTGACTGAATTATGGGATGTACCTGGTTTTAACACAGTGCTTCAGTCTCCTAGTGGCAGGAAAGTCACTTTTTATTCACCGAGTCTGTTTTTATCATTTCTTTTACAAATAAATACAAATGGGGATGTAAGAAAATATCAATATGGCAATATATCATGATATTTTATCCTGCGATATTATATCAATATTCAAAAGCCGTGTATCGAATTTTTGGAAGAATTTACATACAAACATTTGTGTATTTTCTTTTCTTTTGGCACAATTCAACACCAACCACTAGTTGGCAGCAGTGTGCAGTGGGTTTTGTTTCCACCATTAAAATGTAAATCCCTCTATTATGGTTCAGGTGCCTCATGTTAAACATGTTATGTATCAGTTTGGACTGTTTATTGGAATTTTCCTACAACAAATTCAGTCTAAAAATAATCGCTAATGCCATCTCACTGAAAGTATCGCAATAAATCGTGATATATTGTATCGTCTCCCCGCATTGTGATACGTATCGTATCACCATAATTTCACCAGTACACATCCCTAGCTCTGACAGAATAATAATTCATCCATCTTTATTGGCGCCTTGTCACGGACAGCATGGAGGTCAGGAACAGCTGAAGCAACGGCTTTCTCGATATTTAAATGTTAAAATAATCAATAGTTGCGGAAACCCCTTACAGCTGATTGTGTATGTGTGTGTGTGTGTATACCAGTCTATATGACAAAGTGAGGACATTTTGCTGGTCCTCACTTTGGGACAATGTTACAGAGCTCTGCTCGTTAGTTTTAAAGTTATGGTGTGAGTTAAGTTTTAGTTAAGGTTAGGAGTAGACTGGTTATGGTTAGGCACAATCCAGTCCCAAAAATGAATGCAAGTCAATGACGGTCCTCACAACGAATGCTAGACTAGTGTGTGTGTGTGTGTGTGTGTGTGTGTGTGTGTGTGTGTGTGTGTGTGTGTGTGTGTGTGAAGCTAGACTCACTCGGTGGTCTCTTTGAAACCAGGGAAGGACTGGGAGTTGACGTGAGCCAGTGTTATGAACTCATTCCTCTCAAGGTTTCCAACCAGAACGCGGATCTTTGACTCGACGAGTCCGATCCTGGAGACAAACGTTGACCTTTTGTGTTGCAGTTTCATGGCTTTGTGTGTCAGCTTCTGTAAATAATTCTTAGCTTGTGATTAGAACGAACCACCTAAATGTCTAAATCAGCTTCATTAGGACAGACTGAACTATGATTCAATACAGCCCCCAAAGCAGCTGTCAGCACGGTGGAGGAGGGCTGATGATTTGGGATTGCTTTACAGCCACAGGACCTGAACTCCTTCATATCCAATTAGATTTTAACATTTTCAACAATAAAACCAGTGCATGGAAGAGGAAAAGACTCAATACAATAATATAAAAATGAAAATGATGAAAATGGAATTCAGGAGTATAAATAATTTCTAACTTAACTCTGGAGTTAAATATGAGCTTAGCTACTGCGTGCCTGAAGCTCAATAATAAAAAATAACAAAAAGCACAAAATATGAAATGATCCAATCTGAATCCAGACCACAGGATAATTAAAATAACAAATAACTTCAAACCAGAATTTTGACTCGGTCCCAAATCAGCCAAAACAAACTGATGCTCAAGGTGGTTTTAGGAGTGACTGAATTATGGGATGTACCTGGTTTCAACACAGTGCTTCAGTATCGTGGTGGCAGGAAAAAGTTACTTTTCATTCAGCGAGTCTGTTTTTATTATTAATGAATCATTTTAAACTCTTCACACTCACCATTCTAAGTGGTTTTCTTCTGTAGATGCACTGGCAGTAAGAACAATGTAATGCCTGAGAGGAAAAACACAAGTAGACACAAATTTATAAAACATCCAGTCCAAACAAGTCATTCTGCTATTTTGTAGGTACTTCACTTATGAGAGACAATAGACTCGAGACGCAAAGCAAACCAACCCAACCACTGGGTCTGCAGCTGAGTTATAAACCCGACATATAACTACTGGGTCATGAGTAAAAAGAAAGATTTCCAGACGACGAGCTTTCATATCAGAGCTTTAGTGTCACGTTGAAGAATAAAAACAAAAACAACAAGAACGTAGAGTCGAGATTAAAGCTGAAATGTGGAGGAAAGTAAACAAACCTACTGGAGAACCATCGATACTAGGCGCCATCTTTGGCTACTTTCAGAACAGCGTCCACACAGGAAGTCAGAAGGTATTTTAATCCTTCACAATAAGAGTCTCAAACATGTACCTCGAAAAATCTGAAGCTTATAAAAATAGTACAATAATCTTGAAAAATTCAAGTTTTTTCCCCCAGACAAATCTCATCAGAAGGTAAACATGTTTAACGGGGAACTTTTCAAAATAAAATAAACAATTTTCTCACAGCCTGGAAGAGCTGGACCCTGACTAAGACTTACTTGTACTTTTGGAAAAAGCTGGGCGGCTCAAAGAGCTTCGGCCATTCCGCTTTACCTTGAAGGATCTCATCGGTGACACTGAGACCTGTTGATAGACCACAGTCCTCAGAACGCATCTAGTGTCCTTTTCTGTAGTTTTACAGGAGCGTTGGGCTCTTCATACCGTGTTTGAATTCCTCAGTCATGATGGTGCGTGTTGAAGTGGAAACGTTGTAGGTGGAATTCTGCTGGGGGTAAGCTGGAGTGATGATGGGCATCAGGTGGTACCTGTCAGATGGATTCACCTAAAGAAACACCAACAGATAGGAACATCAGATAGGAGCACGCCACGCCACCAAACACACTCGACTGAAAGCTGCTTCTACTCACTCTAGGATCCCACACAGGTAAGTTCAGATTACTGTCCTCAGGCTGTTTTAACAATACAGGATTTGGCCACTCCCTGAACACAAACAATAAAAAACGTGATAAAAACGCAAAATATACCAAGATTTAAAAAATGAGCTTACTCCAAAAGCTGACCATTTTGAGAAGACCAAGAAGAACTTGTGGACGAGTGTGGCAGCGACGGCGTTGGGGTAGAGCTGGCAGGTCCTGGCCACCAACATGGCCCAAGAAACTCCACCCAGAAAGCCCAGGATGTTGGAATAGATCCCTCGACCTGCGAGCACAAATCATGTGGAACTTATCTGGTCGAATGCAGTATTCATGCAAGTATTCCACATTTTTAGGAATGATAAATCTGGTCTGATTGAGGCCAAATCTTTTACCATTGGTCTCATTTTTAGCATCAGCAGACCAGGTTAGAATTATTGTATAAAACTCTGTGTTTACCAACTGGTAATTATAAACGTCCCCGCTAATCAGAACAAACAAACACTGCGTGGAGTCTGACTGCTACTTTCATTAATGCAGCAGCTCAGCTTTTTTATTGTTATGACCTAAACGCACACCTGCAAACTTGGAGGCTGTGAAAAAGGTGACAACTGCACCTTTAACGCAGCAGAAATGTTGCAATATTATGAAATGATCTCATCGCGTGTTTCTCCTCCAGCGTCCTTAAATCTTCTGGTGCCCAGATCCATTTACTGGGGTTTGTTTTAAACCAGTAAGGCTGTAGCACACTGGTGGCCAGTTCTTACCAGAAGTAGGATTTATGTTACTAATATAACTTCCAGTGTTTACGCCGAACTCAACTTCAAAACAAAAAATAAATAAAACACGACCAGCCTCGGGGAAAGCCTATAAAGGTAAATCTGCTAAAGTTCTTGACGGAAAACTGTTGTTTTGTGGTGATTTTGTTCTATTTGAGGAACTTTAAGCTCAAAACTGCTGCGAGGAGTTAAAGCGACAGCACTCATTCTCACTGTGAGCGCCGCTCTGCCTCATCATCTGCAGCGTGCTGTCTCTGACTGTGATTGGTCAAATGATGACACGTGACTTAAGCCTGATTCATGCTTCTCCGTCAGCTCCAAAAGGGAGAGACACGCACGCACGGACACGTTTTGCAATCATGCTTCTCCGTCTCCTGGAGAGTGTTGCAAAGCAATTCCCCGCCAGGACAACAGAGGGCGTAGCGCTGTTCTGTGGTATCCTGTCATGTATCGGTCCACGATAGTGTGTTTATGTTGTTTTTTTGTATATAAGAGACTTTTTAACATGGACAAATTTGTCTCTCATCCTCCTCCACCTCTTCATGCGCTCGCCACCTCTAAACCCACGTTTCCTATCATTTCCGTCCACAAATAAAACGCTTGCTGCAGATCTTTTCACTCCTCCAGTCACGGGGAATTAAACGTTCATGTTTTTAGAGTTTTTTCGTGAGGTATTCTTCAAGCTGCTCCGTGTCTGCCGCTAGTTATTCTCGGCTCTCTTTAAGTTTTTGAGGGCACAATGGCGGCGGTGTAGACGACAGCGGTGCCCTGACCAATCACAAGCTCGCGTTCTCCATCTCGACGGACGGATGTTTAGTAAAGAGAGCTCGACTCCGTCTGTCCTTCGGGGGCTCTCCAGCAGGCCCGCAAGGACGGATAATGGCGTTGCGTGTCTCCGCACTGACGCAGACACAGAAGCATGAATCAGACTTAACACACAAGAGTTTGTGAACAAGAGAGAGAAGTCCCCTCTCTCTGATTTCCATAAGAGTGAAACCCGACAGAAGACCCTCACCTCCCCTCAAACTCTTTGGATCTACACGATTCACGTGAACGCCACATTTCGCTTCAAAAACGGCGACAAGTTTGCAGGCATGTAAACGTAAAACGGCTCGGTGGTTTTGGTCCCCGGTCTCGACTATCCTGTGTGTTCAGATGTTTTTCTGTTCATGAATGCGACGCCTACTCTGGGTTTGAGAGGAGTTGTGTTCTCACACAGCTAGCTCTCTGTTGAGACGGGACATCACTCACGTTTGGCCCAAAGTTTGATGGCTCTCAGTGTCAACCTGAAGTTTTCTTTGTTTGGCACCAAGTACAAAATTTCATCAGTTACTCGACAACCTGTAAGCAGACAACACCACAGAGTACAGAGCTGAATATTTACTCTCAAAACTCCTTTTGTGAAGAAAACATGAGCTTCAGGTTAAATTAGGACACCTGTTCATTATCATACTGAATATAAACCGTGTTGCCTACCGTTGAGGCTGCGGATGCAGCGAATGTCCAAGTTTTTTAGAATAGAGTCCCCTCTCAGGTCCAGGTTGTCTGGGATGGACTGAAGTGCCAATCTGGCAAAAAGCAAGTCGATCTGCTCCGACAAACACAAACGAGGCGGCAGAGAATAAACGTTTATCAGACCCTTCTGTTGATGGGGGAATAACAACCCCAGCAAACAGTAAAAGCACAAAACGTCATGATAGTGGTGTGTAACTCATTCACTGCCAGCTGTTATCTGAACAGAAAGCCCCTGACTGCCTCTGCCTTTGAGCATTTTGAGTAGACTCTCTTCTTACACCAGGAAGAATCAGCGTGTTTCTAGCTTTTTCCGTTCTTTCACAATCCGCTGCTGAAGTGTGAGCTGCAGAAGCTTTTTCCAGTTAGCGCCTCGCTTTAAGGCATAGCGGCGTCCCAAAGCAATCTTCCAATTCATGAACTGTTTGCTTCATGATCACGTGATGTGTGACACACATGGATGCAAATCAACTTCAGAGCCGTGATGTTTACTCTCAAGGTGCGGGAGCTCGTTCCCAGGCCCACCCCATTAAAAACGCAATAAATGCCTTTATTTGTCAACGGCAGTGAATGAGTTCAAATGAAAACAAAGCAAACTAAGAAGTAACTCCACAAATACACCCGTTCATTCATACCAATTGGGTCATGAGTAAAATAAAAGGAGCTTAAATGGAGAATTGACGTTGCTTCACCATAAAGCTGCAGCCCAGTCTTAATGATCAGCATTAAAATCAGAATCCGAGCATATTTCTTTCTGCATATTTGAACAACAGCCGATGATTTACTCTACAGGTTACCGTATTTTCCGGACTATAAGCCGCTACTTTTTCCCCATGCTTCGAACCACGCGGCTCATAATGAGGTGCGGCTTTACTGAAGGTTTTCCTTCACCTGCAGGGGGCGCTTTAGCAGAAAGTGAAACAGGCGGAAGTCAAAAGTGGAAATCGAAGAAAGTGCTCATTTTAATTTAGCACATGCAAGCAGCCGGCACGACGAAGAATTTGTTTCAAATCCATACCCCCTCATCATGCTAACTACACGTATGAGTTCATATGTTTCTGCATTTAAGTTGAAGGCATTGATCTGGCAGTAAAGGAGGGAAACAGTGCTGCCACACATAAGCTTGGCATGAATGAATCCGTGGTTCGGTGCTGGAGACGGCAGCAGGAAGAACTCATTCAAGCCCGCTTCACCCGGGGATGATGACAGCAACACTGACATCGCCACAGAAAAGGTATGTGACGAAGCTCTTCTGAGGCTGTTCAACTCAGACACTGAAGAAGAGGACTTTAATGGCTTTAGTGCGCAAGAGGAAGAAGAGGTAGGCTGGCAAGTGTGTTTTATTTACTAACCAGGCATGTTTTGTGTGCAGTTTTTATTTTCTAATCATCCAGGGCTTATTAATGCCGTGTCAGCGCTGTTCTTTTCTTCTACACATGCATGCAATTAACGGTAATAACGTGTCAGTTCTGTTTTTATTTTATAACCATCCAGAAATATGAATGCTATCAGTGCTGTTTTCTTTTCTAAACTTGCAGCCGTGTTTAAAATTTGTTTTGTTGAATTAAAACAACAACGAAAAACCTCCGTGTAGCGTCTTTCTGTCTAATTATCTTATGTTATGTCCGTACATGCGCTGGAGACCTGCATGTGGCTGCTGCGGCTTGTATTTGAGTGCGACGTGCGTGTGTAGAAAACCTTTTTTTTGTTAGTGCGGCTTATATTGAGGTGCGCTCTATAGTCCGGGAATTACGGTAATTGCAGACTGCTTATAAACACAGAGTTGCTCATGTGTGAATTCCAAGTTATTCTTTGTGTGAATGTGGATAAATGAGACCCTTACAGCCACACGTGGCTCACCTCAATCCCGTCAAATTTGAATTTTATCACCGGTACAAAGGCGTCTTCAACGGCCTTAAAGGAAGAGAGAAAAAACACAATATTATATGAAAGAATGGTAAAAAAAAGTAATCAGAGAGAATTCTTACCCGGAGATCTTTAATCTCTTCGTGCTGTTTCAATTTCTCAAAGAAAGACTGGAAGAAGTCGGTTCTTTCTACGTGACGCGGTGCCACACACAAGGCATCAATATCAGCTCCTACAATAAAATCAAAACCCTTCATTTAATATGCGAGTGTTTAGCTTGAGACTCATCGCTTGTATTGGGCAGCATTCAAGGTTGTTTCTGTTATATGAAGAATGATCGTGAGATTAATATTACATATATAATATAGTAGGAAGGGTGCGTTACAATAAGGTTTTACGTCCTCCAGCTCCTTTTCAGACATGTAAAAATAAATTTTCCAAGTTAATGAATTTTCTTTTCTTCTTTTTTTTATTTGCACATTTTAATTATCACGCTTTCTCTCTTTTTGTACATGTTCAATACAAACTTTCCAAACTAAACCACGACCCCTTCCTTCCACCGCACATCAAAGCATCGCACAACGTGGCAAAATGCTTGCCACCCACTGGAGTAATGACATACAACTGTATTCATGTGGAACCTTTTTGGACTGGAGTCATTTTTAAATTAAACATCTGAAGAAAGGAATCTGCCCGATATTCATGACCGATCATACCTGATCTGTAGCAGGTAAGATGCTAGCTACTAACTCCTTAGAGTATCAGTGCACAAAAGACGAGCTCCTTGAGCCAGACACACAAACACGCAGTGTTGCCAACTGTTTTTGACTGAAAGTAGCTGAAGTTCCCCCCAAAAGTCACTAGATGTCGCCAGATGATGTAACGTGCTAATTTACATATTGATGACGTCATCACGCCACATTAGCGTTCGTTTTCCCCATAGCATCTAATATATATATATATATAATAGGACTAAAAGGGAGGAAAATAAAAACTATGTTATACGTTAAAGTTGTTAATTAGTATGATTAAAATGGCCCAAATTGCTTTGATATGTACAATAAATTCCAAAACTACCAATAAAGTGGCATTATAGATATGGTGTGGTGATCCAAACAGTTCTGTTGTAGGATATAACTCAGACCTGCTGCTCTCCTCATTCTCACAGACATTTTCCTAAAAAACTGTTTTTTTACACGTCATAGTTTCTCAACTTCTCTGTTGTGTTTTCTCTCCATCGTGATAATAACGGCGCACCGAGCAAAAGGGAGCGGGTGTCTCAAAGTATAACCATCCCTGTGTCACTGAAGGAAATTCAGATGAGCCACAGAGCTGCGTGTGTAAACGGGACGGTAGTTGAAACTCCCGATGACTGTATTTGCCAAATGCAGGAAAAACCAAAGTGTCTGACGGCTGCAGAACCAGAGATGGCAGGTTGACGCCCGCGCCGTCTCTAGTAGAAGCGTGAGCCTGCAGCAATATGAAAGCAGCAGACGTAAATCGGCGGTCTCCAGCTCTGCAGCTGTACTCTGCAGCTTCAGCGAATCAGACCGGCCGAAAACGGTTTATGATTGGTCAGTCCTCGTGCACATGCGCAGATTATCGTTCTCTTTCCTTACTCCCGGAAGAACGGTTCAGAGTGCAAATGGTTTCTTTGTTGCTAATCTGTAGGAATACCGTAAATCCTCTAATACAGGCCCGGGCCTGTATTTGACTCAAGCTCATCAAGCTCCAGGCCTTTATTGGAAGGAGGGCCAGTATTAGAGGCAGGCCTCTATTTCTATTTGAGCAAAATGAACTAATGGTTCGCTGGAGTTTTTGACAATTAAAAGTGCGCCCACATTTTCAAAGTTAAACACATTTCTTTTAACAACGGTAGTTTCTGCTTCAGCCCTCTCCCCCCTCCCCCTGCGCAGCGGCCGCAAACTCACTGATGCGCCTGCAGCCTCTCGGAGTTCCTGCTGCTCCAAACATTAAAATAATTATTTCATTTTCTGTTCCTCACTTCTGATGACCTTCAATGGTGTCTGTTTGTTGCAACAGCAGGTACAAAAACTAACTTGTTTTTATTTGACTATTTTTCTGTCCTGTCTGTTTATTATCTTCCTGCATCTCCTCTCAATCCTAAAGAAAAAATGCTACCTGGGTTCATATATATTCACCTCATGAGTTACCTTTGAACTGCAGTTCTAAAAGATCTACCGACCGCAAAAACAGCGGAGCGCTTGCTGTTTGGCGGCTGTATCAGTGATCAGTGCGTCGGAGGACAAGGCGATGCCCGCAGCGCCCCGCTCCACAGCATGCAGTGAAACACATCAGGCGCAAATAAAAGACAGAAAACATTAAAGGAAATGAACTGACATGAACGATCGCGTGTTAAATTAGTTTTTGAGGTGGCGACACCTGATTGTTACTGTGGCCGTGCTCAGGAGGCAGATCTACCGACCGCGAAAACAGCTGAGCGCTCCCTGCTGTGATCTGTGCGTCGGAGGACAAGTTGATGCGCCCCGCTCCACAGCAGCGATACACATCAGGCGCAAATAAAAGACAGAAAACATTAAAGGAAATTAACCGACATGAACGATCGCGTGTCAGTACATACGGTCTGGCACTTGAGTTTTACCCCCAAAAAGAGAATCTGATCATACGATAATTCAATAGGGAGCGTGGTTTCACAGACGCGGAAGAGATAGCGTCGGTGAAACGCCGGCTGCTCTAGGAAACCCCCGAGCGTTCGAGCGTCAACGAAGTGACACGGAAATGCCGGGCTTTCCAGAAGTAAGTAAGATAACTTACTATGAGCTGATAGTTCGTTGGATTGATCGGTAGGTTGGAAACTCTGATCGTGAATCTGAAGAAACTGAGTGGTGAGCTGGAAAGGCGACTTCCGTTTATAGCCGCAGTTTGTGACGTAGGTGCGACGTGAAGGGAATCCCCGCGAGGGGCATGCTGGGAGTCCCTACTTCGCGGATTTTCTCCTATCGCGGCCAGGTCTGGAACGCATCTACCGCGGAGGGATTGCTGTAGTTCATACACCCCCTACTGCTGCTCCCCAGAGTGTTCTGCAGCATAATCAGCACGTTCTCTTTGAACTTGATAGTGTAATGACCTGGCTGGGGTTGTAAGCCAGGTGCATTCTGGGTATTGTGTTATATGTGTTTCCTATCGTTCTGCTAGTTCCTATGTGCTGATTTGCGTGTTGTGTGAGTGTTATGTAAACCACAGGGAAGGTGATGTGTGTTCTGTGGAGAGGGTTGAATTAGCATGGTTAACTGACACCGTGACTCTGTGTGGTAGGAGCGTGATAGAGGATCGTGTCTGTAGCGTTACAAAGCGTTGAATAGGGCTGTAGCGAAGCCTCGACGACGTCGACGGCTCGATTCTAAAAATTTGTCGACGTCAGATCCGGAAGTCGACGCACCGCGCCCACTTGTTGCATCCCCAGGAGTTTGTAAATAGAGGAGGAATCTGCCTGTTTTTCCTCTAGTTCGCCCTCTTCTCCGCCTTCACTAACATCTCCGCCAAATACCGAAGAACCGGATCAACGTCCGTCCGCTACTAGATTCCTTTCCTGTTTTGCCCGCCTTCGTCTCCCGGCAACGGACAACAACTTCCGGGGTCAGATGCGCTGCTTCGTGTCTATCGCAGATGTAGAAAATCACCGGGAGCGTTTCTCCCTTCATAAAGGAGCTTCTTTCAGACATGAGGAGAGCTGTTTTGGTGGTAGCAGTCTCTCCTCCGTGCTGGTCTGTTTGCTGCTGGGTGTTTTTGGTTTATTTAAACTTGGTAACTTGAACTTAACGTTGGTAAAGCTACTGTTAGCATCTTCGCTAACAGCTTCTTGCGTTGGGATAAGCTGTTACGTTTTGGTTTAGAGTTCATCTTTTTTGTGGTGCAGATCTCCCTTTTATTACATTTAGAGTGTTGTGGGTTTTTGGTTTAGTGTAAAATATCACCTGAGTTTGGTTTAACCCGTAAGACCACTCGCCTCACGCACATAAGTGACCAAAACAAAGCAGCATGGAGACACTCCATCTTCTACCACCTCTCAGGCAGCAGCCTGCTCTCCCAAGTTCTTCATGTCATCAGAACATAACCAACCAACACAATAAACGCAGTGTTATACAAAATGGAAGGCCTGTAGTGTTTATTCTCTTACAGTAACAATTTATCAATTTTTTTGAGGAATTTATTTGAGATTTTCTGGTTTTTGTTAATTGTGCAATAGAAAAATAATCATTAGATTAATTTTCTAAATAGTCATTAGAATAGTCGACTATTCGATAAAATAATCGTCAGAATAATCGTTTTAAAAATAATCGTTTACCCCCAGCCCTAGCGTTGAAGGAAAGGCCTAAAAAAGGTCTGCGTGAACTTCTACTGCCTCCTGCTGGTTGATTTGGGGACTATAACCCTGCCGCTGGGACGCTCGTATTTGCTTGTTACCACATGCCATCCGGCCACAATAAGAGACCGGCCATTATTTACCTCAGCTGACTCCGACACCGGCCAGAATTGGAGACCCGGCCTTTAATTGAATACCGGCCTGTATTAGAGGATTTACGGTATCTACATGAAAGTTCTACAGAAAGTAGCAACGGGTCCTGAGAAATGTCGCTAAGTTTGTCGCTAAGCACTTTTTGGAAAAAAAGTCGTTGAGGAGGGTCAAAAAGTCGTTATAGGAACAGTGACAAAGTCGCTGAGTTGGCAACACTGCAAACACGTACCCGTTTAACTGTTTAAGTGTTGTTGGACCTTTAATGAGCCTTACCCTTTGTGTGCACTCCTAGTCTGTATGAACCAAACGTAAATATCTTGCCGCCGACACAGCTAATGGCTGATGGTGGAAGGTTCTATAGAACATGAAACAGATCATTAGTGCCAGAAGAGGAAAAAAAATTCTATTATTGACGTCAATATCAATCCCTCCATACAACGGTAAATGTGTAACCTCCACAGGAGACATCCCTACCTTTAGTTCACTGATTTCTGCGATCCACTCTTTAACAAGGTTGTTTAACTTCCCGAGAACAGCGAGTCTGAAAGAGAAAACTATTTTAGAACATGCGTCCTTCCCAACAGAACTAATGAATAAATAATAACCCAGAGAACAATTCAGCCCTGGAACATTTTATTGTTTTTTATTTTCTTTAACCCTCCCACTGTCTTTATGGGTGACCCCGCGTGGAAAGCTGACCATTGAGCAGGGTTGATGGTTTATCTCTTAAGGTCCACGTGGCAGGGGTGAGGTGGTGCTCACTCCTCACCACTGCCACATGAACCCAAGGGATAAACCATCAACCCTGCTCAATGGTCAACTTTCCTCGCGGGGTCACACCCATTAGGACAGTGGGAGGGTTAATGTGAAAGCTTAATTAATTTACCTATATAAGCAGATAAAAACCACTGCGATCGGGGTGACCTGGCCAACAACAGCATCAACAAATCACTCACAAGTCACAGCAGCAACACTCCCAAACAGAGACGAGATAAAAAACTGTCAGTAATTGAAAAGTTTACAGCAAAATGCTGCTGGTCAGAAATAAAACATCTCATCAGTAAAAGTTGAGCTCTGCTTGTTGGGTTACTTTTATTAAAACCAGGTTACCTTAAGAGAAGTCAAACGCACAGAGGATTAAAGCAATATTATTGTTCACTTTGCAAAGTGGAGAGACGAAATGAAAACACACCCAAGCATGGTTCCCAGGATCTCTCAGGGAACATCCGTTCTCTGAGGGGTTTTATTAGCAAGCGCACACAACACATCACATCACAAAACTGTTTCATAGAGATTCAGGTGGAAAGCTGTTTAACGTAGGGAGTAAAAACAATACCACAAATCCATCATACAAAGCCAGGTGCATTCAGTCAACATGCTGTTTCCCATGGGAGAATAACGATAACACAGACCAGTGTGGTCTGAGGAAGGTCGTTGTCCTCCCTGTTGAGACGGGAAGACCGGCACAGGACAACACTTGCATTTTAATGAAGCAACAGGTGTTTTACTTATAAGGCAGCTATGATTTTAAGCAGTAATGTCAGCAAAACCAATTTTTCTCTATCACTGCTGATTCACTCCGCTGCCTTTTTTGATGTTTAGTCTAAAATTAAAAGTGGATGAACAGATTATTTTTTTCTGCTAAAAATTGTGTCTGTGGCCCTGAAAGCAGAACAAGCTGCTCTCCAGTCAACTTTAATATGCTTGACTATTATTTAAACTTAATTTTATCATTCTTAACCACCAGTAAATCAGAAATGTAGTTCAATATTAAAGAGCAGGCTCACTGAAAAAAAGTTTTTTGCTTATAATTTTTGAAAATCATCCGTCAATTTGACTTTTCATGCAGTCTAAACATGAAAATAGCCTCCTACACCTATCTCCTGCATTAGCTTCTGAAAGAAAACAGACGGTGAAACTCTACGATTAGAAAAGCCTGACAGATCTACGTCACACTGTCACTTAACATTCATGGACTCATGACGAGGAAGGCTGTTGTTGGTTTAGTCCAGGAAACAGCAGAGAACGTCTCGGCTAGTAGAAGCCAACTGTTAGCATTAGCAACTCCACCACACAGCAGAACTCCTCCATGCTTGTGCTATTGGTGGAGATAAAACACCAACATTGCAGAGCAGACAGAGTCAGTGGCAGAGTCGTGTTGCTGTTAGCCAATCAGATCAGGAAATAAGACTCCAGATCCTGCTGTCTGAAGCTACTTTCTCCTCTGACAGAATTCTAGTTCCTTTTATTATAACCAGAATTATCAATGCATTATTTAGTTAGCTAATGTTTGCCAGTTATCTAGCCCCAACAACGAATCTTTGCTACTGACACGTGGGTCCAAGGTTAATCTGAACTAGGGCTGAAACGATTCCTCGAGTACCTTGAATAATTCGAGCACAAAAAAATCCTCGAGTCAAATTCTCTGCCTCGAGGCTTCGTTTAATTCATGTTTAATTAATTCATGGCTTTGCAATCACCCGGGGTCATGTTTCACCCGGACCGAAATAAGTAACGCACATACATACTGCACTGAATGTACACGCGAGTGGCAACTGTAACTTAACTTTCTCAAAAATAAATAAAAAACTTAACTTTCTCTTAAGCCATGGCGGACAATGTGGACCCCGGTGGAGTGCGAAAAAGACAGAAAATGTCAAAGGTGTGGGACCATTTTTCACATCGTAAGGCGGAAAACGTAGTCCAGTGTAAATACTGTTAAATGGATTTAGCCTAAACACCACCACATCCTCGATGCTGCAACCTGACCAGGAAACATCCACCTGTAAATGTCTCTTCTGCAAGCGGACTCGGAACCTCCACAAGATAATGCATTTTAGCCTGTATTTCTATATATTCTGCGGACGCTGTGCGACTTTTTCATTTGTAGCACTCAGTTTCAGATCACACCGTATGTCTGGTAGCAACACGTCAGACTTAAAATGTGCTAAAAATAGCAGTTTTTACAACACGTCGGACTTTTTACTGTGTTGTTTGTTGATGTCCGTTGTCCCTCGGGATTGCTGCAGGAGGACACAGGTATTTATGAGGGTGACGGAGGAAAACGAAAGAAAGTAAATAAATGTTGTGTGATCAGTATAACTTGACATAACCACGGCAAACATGCTTTCTCGACAATCCTTGTTAGTGTGAGGATAAAAAAGTGTAGAAATTAAAACGGACGTGTGTTAATAGGGAAACAGCTGGCGAGCTGTTTGCACCGTGAGCAGTTCTGGTGCTGTTTGGGCCACAGCCGCTCGCATTTGTTTACTGTAAAGTAAAGTTGAAGTGCTGAAGTTTTGAAAACTAATTTTGAAAAAAACTTGAAGAATAACTGGCAATTGCTCATTTTAAGAGGTCTTTCATATTTTATAACATGCTGTTTGATATAATGGTTTACAAACGCAAAAGGGTAATTTATTAGAGTACTCGATTAATCGATAGAATATTCGATAGAGTACTCGATTACAAAAATATTCGATAGCTGCAGCCCTAATCTGAACTACAGAAAATGACTACGTTTACATGCAGCCAATATCCGGGTTATGATCGGGTTAAGGTCGGTATTCGGGTTTCTGAGTTGATCAGAATAACCTGTTTACAAGCATAAATAGAAAGAGTTACCCCTAACTTGCATAACCCGATAAATGCGGACATTGGGGTAGCATCAGGATGTATGGACTACGTCCAGACGCAATACGCGTCATTTCCGGTTCTTCTTGTTCCGGTATCCGTGAAAACAACAACATGTTTCCCAGTTCGGAAGAGATAGCGACCGCGTTTGTTTGCGCTTTAGTTTCCTCGTCACTCAAAGTGAGGTGCTGTGCCGCGACTCGTCATGTTGCTCCCAACTTGTTTACTTCCGGTGTTCTGGCGCATACAAGACGTCTCGCTACTCAAAAGACCAAGATTCCTTGCGAACAGAGCATGTGCAGAACACACGCTTTGATGGGGATATCCCGATATGCGTTTACACGACCAAACATTCGGGTTAGAAAAGGGTTACCCCAAGTGTAGTTTTTATGAGCATATCCGGGTTTTTGGCGGTGTTTACATGGACCTGCGGAACCAGGTTATTGTGAATATTCGGGTTTTAAAAGGGTTACTGGCTGCATGTAAACGCACTCATAGACAGGTACACAAAGTACTAGAGTACGACAGGCTCGAGTTCAAAGAGGACGAGCTAATCAATGTGGAGGACATCCTAAATCAACAAGTTAAAAAAATACTAAATTTATGTAAAGGCTTTCAAAATATGAAATAAAATTGTTTTGAACAGCTTTTAGATTTGCATTACATAATAATTAAAAAAGTAAATCCTGACCATTATGTTTTACAGATATTTCACTCTTTTTGTTGTAAATAAATGAAGATGTGTGTAATCTCTGCATGGTTGTATAAATGTTTGACACATTTCCAACATAGCTGGTGATTTTTAGGATAATGATTTTAAAATGGCAGTAATGAACTTTTAAACTGGCCCTACTCTCCTAATGTGTCAAAATTAACCAAATTTACTATTGCTGGAGAGGTTAGTATAGGAGCCTGATTTATATTATGTATAATATTTATATTATTATAATATGTTGGGGCGACGGTGGCACAGGAGTTAAGTGCTCGCCCCGTAATCGGAAGGTTGCAGGTTCGAGCCCCGCTCAGTCTGTCGCTGTCGTTGTGTCCTTGGGCAAGGCACTTAACCCCCGTTGCCTGCTGGTGGTGGTCGGAGGGACCGGTGGCGCCAGTGCTCGGCAGCCTCGCCTCTGTCAGTGCGCCCCAGGGCAGCTGTGGCTATCATCGTAGCTCATCCCCACCAGTGTGTGAATGTGTGTGTGAATGGGTGAATGACTGATTGTGTTGTAAAGCGCCTTGGGGGGTTTCAAGAACTCTAGAAGGCGCTATATCAAATACAGGCCATTTACCATTTACCATATTAGTTTGCATGAAAGAAATGGATATTTGTAAAATAAAAGACTTGTAGCTATTATTCATTTACATATCTGCTCAAACAGCTGGACTTCTCCCCAAAGTTGTGTTGATGTACCTGTTGCAGAAGCTCATGTGTTGAATGCTCCTTACCTGTGGTTCAGCTCCTCTTCATCCTCAAACACACCGAACGGTTTCATGGCATCGCAGAGCTTCTTGGTGTACAGATGATCTATTTCTCTAGGAGGTGCCAGGCTGATGGCAGAGGTGATGCCGTAATGTTTCTGCGGCTGCTGCCCACCAGGCATGGCGCTGCCAGGGAAACAACGGACGAAATGACAGATACTACCACTTCACTTCACTCCCACTGAAACAAGTAGCAGCTCTTATTAGCTAGCATCACAGAGCTAGCTAGCTATGTGCAAGAAATGCACCAATGCCTGTCACTGGAGGCTGTTAAATCGGATTTTATTATACTCCAATAACAGGGAAACGCGGTGTAAACACTCCTCGCAGCTATGTTTATTAGCATTGCTTTAGCGGCAATGCTTATATGTTTCGTTTAATATGATTTTGCAAAAATATGTTAAATAATGCCAAGTGGTTCAAAGCCGATAATGTTTAGTCATAACTTAAAGCTCACAGTATTTTTCTGGAGGCTAAAACAGGTTTGAAGAACTAACAAATAAGCTAATTAGCAAATGTTAGCTAACCAATACGGAAGACCCGGTTAGAAGATTGACCCTCTTTCCGGTTAGACCCTTAAAGAGCTGACATTTTTATGAACAAAAACTTAAACGTGGCATTTTCTAATTATTAAAAACGATTTAAGTCGAGTTTTACCCGAGCCAAACAAGATAAGTAGCATACGGTGGCTGCAGGCCATGTTGTGACAGTTGGCTAACATTAGCTTTTAGCCTATTCTTCAGGTCCATCTCTACCGCGAACAAGAAAAGCTTTTAAGTCCAAAACGAGCCACATGCCTGACTTACCTTGACATTTCTTTCATGACACTCTAAAAAGCTTGCACCTTTTGCTGTAAATCCGTAAAAAAGTAAGAAAGTCAGCAAGTAGGAATGATAGCAGCCTTGACCTGATTTCAACAATGGTCACTTTCCAGGGAGAACAGTTCAAACCTTCCCACTGAACCGGAATCACTACTTATAAGACAACGAATCCGACCGAAATCCCAGGAGAAAATTCATATCCAAACCATCACCAAAACCACCGGGAATTTTTGTTAGTAGCGGAAAGCTCAAGTTTATTAGCTGTTACGAGTTATTTTTAGATCCCAAACTACAAATGTAACGGTGTTTTGTTGAACGTCTGCGCGCACCACGCTGAAGCACCGCCGTCAAGACGCACCGCCTCGCCGAGGCCGCATATCACGTGACCACAGCGGCCTGCTGGCTGTTACACAACCGGACCCAAAAAAGATGCAATTCCACAGCTGTACCACAAGAGGGCATCACCACAAAACACATAAACACCTTTGCCTTGAGCAACATAAAACATTCCCACATAACAGAATAAAAAAAAGATTTAAAGATAAAAAAAACTTCCATTTACTACATAATGGTTTGGCCATGGCATCAAGTACTTTTTGATATAAAAGGATAAGAATTTAAACAGAAAAACAAAACAGACATTGACAGAGTGCATCTTTTTCATGTTTCATTTCAAGTGAAACATTAAAACACACGTAAGGTAAAACTCATTGTTTATAAAGTATTACAGGAAAATTGTCTTTCTATATATAATATGTTCAGTTATTACCACAATTAGTAATCAATTATATACCAAGAAAATAGCAGTTTTAAACACGTCCTGTTTGGTAACAGGGGAGCTGGTTATTACAGTCTTCCATGCAATTCCAAGGTGCACGTTAGCTCATATTCTCTTTTCTTGTGATTCGCATTAGCCTTTACCTCCAAGTAAAACATATCAACTCATAGTTTACATGTTTTAGGCTTGTTTGTGATGAATCATAAAAGGAGTAGTATTTTAATCATTTATTGAGATAAATACAGTTTGAATTCAGGGAATATTTCACCCAGAAACTTTCTTCTGCTTTTGGCTGCATATGTAGTTGTTGAAAAGGACTCTTGTCTAGAGTCCCACAGGGCACCTTTGTTACTTATTATGAAAGTGAAGGTGACCTTTCACCTCTGCAAACAAAAACAGCTCCTCCCTCCTGAGCTTTCAGCAGCTTCTGCATTTTGGACTTTGAGTGCATTCACACTTTAACATCAGCTTCCAGGGTTTGATCATTCCAAATTAAATATTTAAAACATGAACGTATCACCTCTCCAGGTCAGCGTGAAAAACTGGATTACAGAGAATCAGGATGATTTTCTGCCACCAGTTTGCAACAAACTCATGTGAGTGACTTGATTCTTTTATTAGCTGAGATTAACGTGGATTTCTTTCTACTAACGGGGATCTTTCATCTGTTGTGCAGTTTGAAATATTTGTAATAGTTTCGTAGCTTTTGCACAAATTTCACATGAACAGCCTTGGTCATGCCGAGGCAACATGGCTGATTTTATTTCCTCTTTTTCTCAGGCACTTTTCCCAGTTGCTCATCATGTTTGTTGGAGGTCCTAACACCAGGAAGGACTATCACATAGAAGAAGGGGAAGAGGTAAGAGACAAATATCTACTGAACTGCTTCAATCATGTTGATTTAAAGGTGAAATATGGAACATATTAATAAAAAGCTATATTATTAAAAAAGCTCCACGGGTGCTTAGAGGCGTGCAGAGTGAATGTTCAGTTTTTCCTTTAAAAGCTAAATTAAAAAAATCAATTTTTAATTTTGTCTGCACGACACTGGGTTCATGTTTACATCTAGCAGCCACTAGAGGGCATCATAGTGCTAAAAAGTCCGCTCGGCAAGGCGAGGCTGGGGCTGCGTAAAAGGGACTTGACTACCCAAGCGGCTGGTTCTGAGCCCAAAAGATGTTCTAACGGTAAATATTGTCGTAAAGTAAATGTATTAGTAGAAATTAGTCCTTACCCTGTACGATTTGTCACTGAACACGGTGCTGGCTGGTCACTTAAAGAGCGAGTAATGCCTAAATTAACTTTTTTTTTTTGCAGCTAACCTGTATAGATGATGGTGCTGCACATATGTGTAATCATTAGTGTGACACTTTAGTGCAACTTACTTTAAATGTAATATTTCAGCCCAAAATCTCATTTATAACTATCTTCAGGTTAAAACTCTGCTCCACATTTATGTAGAACCAGCTGTAGCTGATGGCTAAGCAGAAAAACGTGACGTCAGCAAAAAACTACGCGGCTGCACCGCACTGGTCTCCAGGTGAGGCAGCTGCACCTCCACCTGGCTCAGCCACTCACCTGCCGATGTGACACGTTAGCGCTCTGAGCCGCTCGCCACCTTGAAAAAAAAAGCCCTCCTCCCCTTTTCATCTATTGATCCTGGTTAACAAGAAATCCTCCAGAATGCTGCAGAATCTGTGTCTGCTTTTTTCCTGAGCGGTAAGTCTTATGTGAGTGTGCTTGCGTGCACGCTCGAGGGTGCATGCGCTGGTTAACAACTCGTTTTTAGATTGAAAAACTCTGACAGCATGTGCGCGCGGGGGTGTGGGTGTGGGGGTCTACCATTGTCTCAGTGCCGCTCTCTCGATCCGCCCGCGGCGACGCCTTTTTCAGAAGCGATTTTCTAACGGGAAGTGTGGAGGAAATACGTCTCCACCCAGGCCTTGACCCTCACTTTAATGTGTCAGCAGCGAACCAACACCCCCCACGGCTGGAAAATGTTTTCTATTGTTGCACTGCCACCTCTAGACACTAGATGTCGCCAGAGTTTCCGTGTTCCATATTCAACCTTTAACTTCTGTTGACCTTTTATTCCCACTTCAGTGGATTATTTATTATCTTTTCTGCATTATCAGGTCAAACTCCACCAAACTGGTTTAGGCCCAGTGTGTGGAACACTTGATGTTCTTAGTACAAAAATACAGAACCAGCTGAAATCCACGTGAAACAGGCCTTTTAGGGGTTGTACGAATTATTTTTTGTAGTTTTTAGAAAGAGAACTTTTATATTGACTATGGAAATAAACCAAACACAGTTTCCTCTAGTAAACATCTAGGAGTAGCATCTAACCCCATGTCTCCATCTGCTCTTCTCTTTAAGTAGTTGTTCTTCCAGCTGAAGGGGGACATGTGCCTGAAGGTGGTAGAAAATGGTGAACACAAGGATGTGCACATCAGAGAGGGAGAGGTGAGCTTTGATGTTCAGGGTAAAACAGTCACTTTTACGGATTTCTAGGTCATTCTGGGTGAAACTCCAGGTGGCTGCTTTAGGTTAAGGGGTCGGTCACCTTTTCACAATGTGCCACTTTGGTTTGAAAACCACATTTAGAATTTAACCCATTTGTGCCCACATTTTTTTCAGTCTTAATGCATATCATTTTATCAGTTAAGTCCCTCTGAATCATGTTATATAATTTTTTTTTTCAATTATATACTGTTTTTGGGAAGAGAATGGCATATTTATGACTGGCAACTATTGTTGCCAGTGGTCACACAGCTTGTCAGTAGGCGAAATGTCACCTAATAATAGGAATAGAGAAGTAATAATAGTGTCGTTAGGGTTAGTTTTTCCTCGCACCAATGCAACCCCCCCCCCCCCCCACACACACACACACACATACACACCTGTAACCTCACCCATGCATCCCACAAACAGGACACTGCTCTGTTATTTTGGCGCACCTCACTGCAGCAATACCTCCCCCAATGGCTGTTCAAGGCCCAGCCCTGGTCATAACAAGGTAATAGCCTAATAGTATTGTCATAGAAATAAGAAAGGACTCAGGTTCCCCTGTATGAAATTCAAAACAAGACACAACTGTTTCCTTTATTCACATTTTTAAAACTCAAAATCACAACAAACATGTTTTTTAGAACATCTAACACATATTTATGTATATGACATAGTTCCCACACAATCCATCATTTGGTATGGATGTACTACTCAGTGTGGTGCTTTTTGAAGCACTCCACATGTAGTGGCACATCACATTTTTCGCACGCAAATGGTGTGCGTCCACCACAGTTCTTGCACCACTTGTACCTGCCACCAATGTTGCTGGATCAGTGATTCAAGCTGTCAAACCTGGTGACATCAGGTATCGCCACCGCCATTGCAGATTTTCTGCCTTGCCTACTTGGCTTTGTTCCATGGCGCTGGAGGAGGGTCTGGGCTACCAGCTTCTGGAATGAGAGGAGATCCATCTGCCCGTTTTTCCAGGACCTAAATCAATGTCAAAACATGCATATTATGCGATTACTCAATCATCAATATCATCCCTTGTACATTGTCATGTTCCATATGTAGAATGTTCTGTAAAAGCAATATCACACTTGAGTTTGTGATGATGGATATCACCACTGGGGGGGGGGGGGGGGGTTGCATAGGTGTGTGTGTGCTGGTTATGTAAGCTCTTGTGTGCAAAGAAAAGTGTACCCCCAGCTGCAAATCAACATCTTCATTAGCTTTTCAACTAGCTAGCTATCATTAGACTGTGAGATACAAGCTAATGTTTGCTAGCAAGAAAATGATGTATGGTAACGTATAAAAATCCTAGACACACAGGCCTTGAATACTTGTGAAGTTATTTAGCTTGGAAAAGTATTCTGAGAGGACTAAAATGAGCCATTGTGCATCGTTCTAATATTTTAAATAAGTAAATTAGGAGCGATCCTGCAGAGAGTTTTCCTTTAGTTGGCGTCATGCTTTTTGCCCACTGGCAACTATTGTTGCCACTCACAGAAATAAGCTTATTAAGAAAAAATGTTTATCTTTGGTATAACTTTTGGATGGAGGGTTACGCTAGAGCAGGGGTCTGCAACCTTTCTGGTGATGAGTGCCATTTAAAATTTCATTTGAAGTCAGTGTGCCATTTCAACTGTTGCATAAAGCATACATTTAATAACACTGCATAACAAGTTACACATTATATACTGTGAAATTTTACAGTTAGATCCAGTATTGGGCAGCATAACATCTCTTTTCCACTTCATCCTAAAACTGAACTTCATAGAACTATATTTGTTGACCGGTGTTGGCAAAGGGTAGATCAGGTATTTTAAAAACCCTGTCCATAACAAGAACATCAAAAGACATACACCACAGAAAATACAATATTTAAGGTGTCACAACAAAGATAAGAATAAACTAAACTTTGCCAAGATATGTTATTGCAAGGATAAACATGCTAATGAGATTTCTGCCCCTGCTTTGCATTTGCTAGTTCAGTTATCTGGGGTTCACACTTAGTAACTTTCAGGAGCACACAGGTCTCTGAATGTCCAGCAGTTAGACGGCTACGGGAGGCACTGAGGACACTCTTCATGTGAGAGAAAATCTGCTCACACAGATATGTAGAACCAAATACTGTCAATAAAGCCTGTGCAATGTTCTTGAGACAGTTAAACCTGTCTGGTAGTGACGTCCAGCAACTGAAAATGCAAGCTCCATGATCATGCACAGCTGTGGATTCCAGCTGCTGCCGTAGTTCTGCAAACTTTGTCCCCCACAGAGTTGAGCTTTTCAGTTCAATCAGCTGCATTTCCATGTCGTCTGTATCCAGAAAGTTAAAGAGAGACAAATCCAGCTGATTACCAAAGCTCTCTGGTCTGATCAGAAAAGAAAACATTGGTCCATACAACTGAAAGTCCTGAAAACGCGTTGCGAATTCTGTCTGGAGTCTTCGGATGCATTCCTGTATTGCTGTGGTGCTGATGCTGCACTGAGCAGACAGCTCCCTGAGGTGTTTGAAGTGGCGGAATGTGGAAGTTTCAACATCCTTTAAAAAAACTTCCAGCTTTCCAACAAAAGCTTCCAAAGTGTCACGCGTGTCCAAAACAGTTTGACCTGCTCCCTGCAGTTTGAGATTAAGCTCGTTCAGGTGTCCAGTTATATCTGCGAGGAAAAAAAGTTTTTCAACCCACCTCTCATCTTCAAGTTCAGGATATCTTTGCCCCTTTTCATTCAGAAATGTTTTTACCACATCAAAACAATCCACAAATCGTTCCAGAACCTTTCCACAGCTAAGCCATCTAACAGCACAGTGGAGTGGGATGTCTTTGCATGAGCTTTCCATCTCCTCGAGCAGAGACTGGAATTGGCGGTGAGTCAAAGCAGATCGCTTAACTATGAAGTTCACAATTTTTGCCACTGTGGCCATGACATCATTAAGATCTGAATTTGACATCTTGGCGCAGAGGTTTTCTTGGTGTATTATACAATGCAGTTTCATGATGGGATGGCCTATTTGTTCCTCAATTAAAGTAACAGCCCCCCTGTGTTTCCCAGCTGGTGCACCATCAGTTGTCACAGCAAAAATCTTTGCAATGTCAATGCCTCGTTCCTCAAAACGCTCCATAAAAATGTTGGCAATATCCTCACCTCGTGTTGTTTCAGGCATCGGGGTAAGGCAGAACAGTTCCTCTTGTACTGTCACATCACAGCATCTTACCATTACAGCCAAACGTGGCACATCATTGATATCAATGCTTTCATCCAAAGCCACACTAAACACCTGGGCTTCTTTCAAACCAGCTGTTTGTTGGGCTCTGACATTGTCACCCATTTCCTGGATACGTCTTTCCATAGTTCTGGCTGATGCAGGTAAGTCTTGAATCCTTGCTTTAATAGTATCTTTGTTTGGAAGCCCATCAAATAACATGTCTGAGGTACAGAGAAATGCCTCTTTAATAAAGTTACCATCAGTAAATGGCTTTCCATGTTTAGCAATACAGTGTGCAATACGAAAACTTGCTTCAGTTCCATGATGTTTAGTAGCTGTAAAAACTTTCAGAGTACTTGCTTGCTTCTCATATCTTGACACAGCACGTGCAATTGATTCAGCCTTCTCTTCCTCATCCTTGAAATCTTTTTGATGTTTCGTCTCAAAATGCCGCTTAACACTGGAGGTACGGCAAACAACACTCTCGAGGCAAAAAGCACACACAGCACGATCTCTTTGCTGCACAAAACCCCAGTCTTCTGTCCAAGTTGTCATAAAAGACCTGGAATTATCTTTTTTTGCTCGCTTAGATTCCATTTTTTACAGGGCTAATTAGCTAGAAACATCCTCACTGTACCGGCAGGTAGATTACCGTCATCAAGAAGCGGCCTGGATGTTGTCTTTTCGCTCTAATTTGGGATTTGGACCGGCGGGCCATCGCGTGGGTGTGGCGTTTTATTGCTAATAATAACGCAGTTATTTCCGTCTTTCCGTTTATTTTTAACTTCCAAATATCACAGTGACTGCATCAACAACTGAGATAATCCCGAACAACAAGATAAAAACTAAAAATATCCACCCGAACCACCTCTTATGCTGTGCCACGTCTTTGTTCCGACACACAAGCACATGCGTTGCCAAGGCAACCAGCCGACAGAGCGCTTCGCCAGGCGGGAAGGCTGAGAGATCACATTTCAACTTTTTAACTTGTTTAGTGTCCAAACAAGAAAACAAAAACAATTAACAGAAAAGTCAGTCCGTTACAACACTTATTTTTCAACACATCTTCTCAGATTAATGCGCTGTGCCATCAGTTAACCCTTTGCGTGCCAACAGTGGCACGAGTGCCCAGGATTGCCGACCCCTGCATGAGTAAATTATTACAAATATATTTTGGGGCAGTTCATCAGAAATGTCTAAAAAATTACCTGTTTCCAGGATGATTTGCAGTCACCATGTCTTCAGCGGGAAGGAGCAGGAAGCAGATGATATCATACGATAGGAAGCACTTGGAAACAAAATTTTTTTTAAACAAAACTTTCGTCTAAGTTGTTTACTAGCAAATAAGTGGAAAATGTTGGAGTAGTAACGCTGTAATTTTTTATTGTGAGTCAAAAATGACAGTGATACATTTCGGCAACATAGTTGCCAGTGGGGCTAAACGGGTTAATCTGATTACTTTTGTCTGTATTTTCTGTTTTAGAAATAAATCTGTAAGGCAGCAAATACTTAACACGTGAAAAGTTTAATTCCCGACAGCTTGCATCCTATCTTCTTCCCTACTTGTAGATGTTTTTGCTTCCGGCTCGGGTGCCCCACTCCCCCCAGAGACAGGCCAACACTGTTGGGCTGGTGGTGGAGCGGAGGAGGCTCCTGACGGAGACAGACTGCCTCAGGTGACCTTCATCATTTGCCCTCTGTTTCCACTAAAGTAGACAATAGCAGTGAAGGTAAAACAATAAATAAATAAAAAAGAAAAAGCTATGATGCTCCTGTTCTGAGATGCAGAAGTTTGCTGGCACAGAGGTGAGCTGAAAGAAAGCCAGATTACTCATTATTATTAATGATATGCACACAACTCGCTTCTGATTGGCTACCAGAATGAATTCAGCCATGTTGCAATGTCACTATCACCAGGACACACCTCCTCACTGCAAAAAAATGCCTCCCTCTGAGTGGGCGTGAACCAGGAGGGGCGAGGCACAGATATGTGAAGACTTTCTAATCTTAGAGTTTCACCGTCTGTTTTCTATCAGAAGCTAATGCAGGGGATAGGTGTAGGAGACTATTTTCATGTTCAGCCTGCATGAAAAACTCAGAGTGACACGTTAGAATCAGAAATAATCAGTAATGAAAATGTTTTTTGGTCAACCACAACTTTAAATGTTTATTTTGCTTTCACAAACAATGTAGTTGTTGTAAAGTTTGAGCACAAACACAAGTTTCTTTCTGTGTTCAGATACTATGTGGACAACACTACGAACATCCTGTTCGAGAGGTGGTTCTACTGCGAGAACCTCGGAACCCAACTTGTCCCAATAATCAAAGAGTAAGAAGGGCAAGAAGGCCGTGAACGGTCTGAAACACATTCTCTGCTTTCTAAAATGTGTCCATAAAACCAAGAAAATCATTTGAATGCTTTCTGCTGTTTGGTGACCGTTTGCACAGATTTATGGCATCGGAGGAATGCAGAACAGGAAAACCCAATCCCAGTGAGTTAAGCAGAACATTTGTTTTTTTTTTTTTGGTCTGATCTGATGTAGGTTCCCTTTTTCTACCACCTTCAGACACATGGCCCCACAGATAAACTCCGTAGTGAGGTCTTGTTTTTATTAGCTTCGCTGCCTTACTCACCTCAGACAAATTCTGAAATGGAGGCATTTGGAGTCAGTCATCCATGCCTTCATTACTTCTCGCCTGGACTACGCAAACACCCTCCTAGTTGGTGCTCCGTTCTCTGCCCTGAATCGGCTGCAGGTCGTCCAGAATGCTGCTGCCAGGTTCTTGACAAATACACACTGACGTAGCCATACTACCCCTGTCCTGGAACATCTTCACTGGCTCCCTGTCATTTTCCGAGTACAGTTTAAGTTATTGACTTTTGTCTTTAAAGCACTCAACGACCCGGCACCTCCCCATCTCTCTGACCTGCTGTCTCCTTATGTATCCACGCGCACGTTGAGGTCAGCTGACCTCCTGCTGCTTTGCACGCCCCGCACGCGATACAACTCACGGGGTGAATGAGCATTTGTACATGCTGCCCCAAAGCCGTGGAACTCGTTACCCATCATAGTTCAGCAGGCTCCATCATTGGCGGTCTTGTTTAAAGACACACTTCTACGATGTGGCTTTTAGACAGTGACTGGTTTTAGTGTTTTAATGTGTTCTTAGTATTCCTCATGTTTTATCTGCTTTTGATCGGTATTTTTATCTTCTGTTTTAGTTGCTTAGATTGGTTGTGTTTTGGTTTAGCCTGTGCAGCACTTTGGGCAGCTCCCATGCAACGTTTTAAACATGCTATATAAAAAAAATAAACTGTGGTACGGTATACTGAACAGCTGATGTTTGTCTTTATGGTTTGATACGAACAGAAGAGCTCTTCAGAGACCCTCCCTTCCAGCTGAACTCTGTGAGTGTAATGCAACCCTTCTCCTTCAAAGACTGGCTGGAGCAACAGCGCTCCCTCCTGGGCGGCGGCAGCCCCGTTAGTATGTTCGGGGACCAGTTTGAGACCGAGGTACTGGGAGCTGTGCTTTTCAGCAATAACTACTAAGTTACTTTGCTCCTTTACTGGTGTTAAAATGACTCATACTTTCTTAACTGAATGTGGTCCTTGCATTTTGTCTCTCACATGGCTGACTCAGGTAATCGTGCATGCTGTCAGGATTATTCTAACCCTTCTTGTGGCCCTGATAGGTCCTGGTGTTTGGACCGGGACTGACGGAGACATCAGTGCAGCAAACGGATGCATGGATTTGGCAAATGGTATGTAAACAAAGATCAAAGCTCCTATATTGTCTTTTATGTTTACACAAATTAGTCCCCAGAACCAGTGGCATTAAATGTAATAATCAAGACTGAGTGAGTAGACCACAGAGGATCCCCACAGGCAGGCTGTGTCAGCTACGCTCAACAAGGAGTTGATTTTAAAAGTCTGACAGCCTCCAGATTGATGGAGGAAACGCAGCTCTAAAAGCTCCTCGTGGATGACGAAGCTTGTCGCCTTCCACTCTATAGAAGGATCTCATGTCAGTTACTTATATCCAGGATTTCATGAGCCAAGCTTCAATAGGGAGGGTTGGAGCAAATATGGTATCGCTCTACCTTTGTGATCAGCTTCTTCCTCACCACAGCAGACTCTAGCAGGGCTCTCATTTCTAAAGTGAGTGAAACATTTTTTGGTTACATAGCATCTCTCATGAAAAAAGAAACAAAGTGCTTCAAAAATCTATCTATCTATCTATCCATCCATCCATCCATCCATCCATCCATCCATCCATCCATCCATCCATCCATCCATCCATCCATCCATCCATCCATCCATCCATCCATCCATCCATCCAACCATCCATCCATCCATCCATCCAACCATCTGTTGAGGGTCTGACCTCATGAGGAAATTACTATGCAGTGATTTTCTCCAAAATGACTGTGCTTAAATTGCTCTGAAAAGCAAATAATCACATCAGCGCCAAGAAACTTCATTTCCCATGATGCTTTGCACACGGAAGCATTGTGATGACGTCACCGCCTAGTACCAGAAACACGTTCTGCGCATGTGCGGGAAGCCGTGGAGCTTTTCCCGCGAACTAAGACCATAAATCTTCAGCAGAGACAAAGAATCCTCGTTCTTTTGCCCAGGATACCTGGCGGTTAGGACACGCTTGTCAACGCTCCGACAACTTGAGCACGCGGAAGCTCTAAGTGCCCGAGTTGAGCCCACGGAACTGCTGGAAACTAAACTGCAAGCCCATCAGATCTGCTCGTTTCTGCTCCCCTCCAGCTGATGTTTGAGGACACAGAACTGCGGAGGAAAGCAACAACTCCATCAAGCACGCTGTAAGTTATAACTCAGCACAGAAAGAAACTTTGCTGTCTCTGTCCAGCCCGTGGAGAAACACTCGTGAACGCCAAACAACGGAGAAAGCATCAAACCGACGGACGACGCCGAAAGCTGCGGAGAAACACGGAGAACCGTCAAATCAAAGAGGGAGGGACGCCTCGCTTTTCTGGTGATCAGCAACTCATCTCTTTCTCTCTCTCCTTCTTCTTCCGTTAACTCTATAGTCCAGAATAAGCAATAAAACCGCGCTATTGCTTAAAAAGTAGCTTCGTGTTTTCCTCTTTCGTCCCAAACACGTCCGTCGGGTCATTTTGAAAGAATAAACTGCTTATTGATCATTGTTTGGTATCTTAAAATGGTTTCTGTCATGGCCAGGCTGAAACTAAAAGATATTAATTTGTGATTAATCTTTTGTGTTGTTTCATGATCTTTTGAAATGTTTTGAGTGATTTAAGGTTAAGTTACTACTGATTCTAAGTGCTTTGGAAGTTAAAGTGCAAGTTGCCACCCACACTTTAGCCAGACAAAGGGGTCAGCCATCTTGTATTCAAGACTCCATTTTGAATCCATACACACGCACACACACACACACACACACACACACTACTCCTTTGTGAGAACAAAGGACCCCATTTATACATCCTCCATCACATGCAAACACATCCATCTTCAATCATATCACACGGTTATTATTCATCTATTCCACTGTTTATTCATTTGACAAATTGTTAATTAAATGTTATAAAATTCAGATTTTTGTGTCCAGTAGCTTTGTTGTGTCGAAGAGAAGTCTCTGCTCCAAGGATTCTACGAACTTCAAGAAAGACTGATAAGAGTTTTGGATTCAATTTTTCCCCGGAAAAAGGGGAATGGTGCCCCGTATATCTAAGAATATCTTAATTAATTAATAAATCAGTAAATAGTTCCATATTTACAGAATTTATTGAAGAATCCAAAAGTAAGTTAAAGCTTACGAATTGTTCGCTCCTAATAACCCCAACATTTTATTGGTGCCCCGTGTGAGGCTTGGATACACAGAGATTTCTATCCGGCACAAACAAACAAATAAATCCAAAGAGCTTGAATTAAAAATAATCAGTTGTTCAGCCTTGAACCAGCAACAGAGTGGTGCTGATTTCGCTGAGCAGGAAGCTGCATCGAACTCTCACCAGTAACTCAGTGCTTCTTTAAAGGTGCAACGTGTAAATTAATTCTGGTTGACCTTTTAGGTTAAAAATTCAGTTTTCCTTAAAGGTGCAACGTGTAATTAATTCTGGCTAACCTTTTAGGTTAAAATTCAGTTTTTCCTTAAAGGTGCAACGTGTAATTAATTCTGGCTAACCTTTTAGGTTAAAATTCAGTTCCTCATTAAAGGTGCAGCGTGTAAGCAATTCTGACTAACCCTTTTAGGCTAAAATTAACTGCTAATTCAGCGACTTTAACTCACAGTGGCTATTGTAACTAACTGAAACCTTCACTCAAAGACTGATAACACCCTGTTTGCTAATATTCTGAAGGAATAACTAGCATATTTAACACTGCAAGTGTTGTAAGACGTTGCTACGGCAACGCACCAGCTTTTGCTAAAATACTGAAAGGAATAGTATTTTAAGCGTCAGTCACGGCATTCCGTGCAATCTTAAAACGCTAAAACCTGTGCGCACAAAGGTTAATTTAGTGTTTTTCTGCTACAAAGCTAGCAGTTGCTGCCCAAAAGGTGCAGTTTGAGCTATCTGCAGAAGCTCTACTAGGCTATTTTTGGTTCGGTTGTTAAAAATGGAGGGACAGAGTAGTGAACTGACCAACTCCCAGCAACCAGGTGGCGCTGCGGCCCACGACTATGAACCTGGCCTACTTTCTGGACAAATATTGTCCAAACTGGTCGCGGTTGCTCGAGAACCCGACTACCCTTCTAGGGATTTCACTGAAGAACAGCGTAGCGTCGAGCTAGAAGCTGTAATCGATCAAATAGAAAACCCGGATGGTACAAAACCAATCCAGGTTCACTTAGCTAAGTTAGCCCTGATCCTCTATCAGAGAGAACTCCAACATGATCGAGAGATCTTGAACCTCCAGAGTATGCTAGCTGAAAAACAGCGAAATGGAAGTCTGAAGGATGAGGAGGACGACGACACCCGCACCGATTCTGGGGAAGATGGGGAGAAGACCCCGCCCCCTTCTGCTGATGACAACAGACAGTGGGAAGGGGGGAAACACCATGACTCTCTGGACGGACGCACGCCGCAGGGGAGAGATGAAGCTCATCTGTTCCAACCTTCGGCCCCGTTCCCTACACACACTATAGGGCATTCAGGACCACCTAGGGGCCGAGAGCAGTTCGCCCTCGAATCCCAGGTTGGACCACCACCCTCATCATCACGGCCTTCTCAATCAGTGAGAAGTCGACCAGCTGAGCGGCACCTCTATTTAGACCGCTCCCCCAGTCCACGAAGGGTGCAAGGTGCCGATTGGGGTTATGCACCCCAAGCTGCACCTCAACCATCCACCCATCCTAGCTACTCCGGTATTCGGCATGCCGATAACCAGCTGCATGACCAAGCATCATACGCCAGTCCGTACCCGGACAGAGCGTATTACGCAGAAGCCCCAGTTGAAAGACGCAGGCTGCACTACGCAGACGTGCCCCGGGAGGAGGACCTCCCAAGACACCCACGTGACGTGCCAGCAGCCCGCCACAGCATGCCGGACCCTGATTTGGGCCCCAGGAGTCAACATTGGGAGCCCAGAGCACACCAGCGATATCCAGCGCCCTCTGAGACAGACCGTGGGTCAGAGTCAGAGGATGACGCGCCGTACCGTGAGTCAGGGCTCCGTGTACGTCAAATTGAATCGCTAGCTAAAGATATAGAACGCTTTGATCCTAACACCAATGAATCCAACGTTGACGATTATCTCAGGGAGATAGAACGTTGTCTGCTTGATCTTCCAGCACCTTCTTCAAGGGAAAAGCTCAAGCTAATTTGGAAAACCACATCTAGAACGGTGCACGGTTTCATGGAAACTCTACCACCTGACATTCGAGATCGGTACTCCTCGCTCTGCCGAGCGTTGAGGGATGAATACGCCACTTATGCAGACTCTGCGTCAGCTACAATGGGGGCCTTCTCCATCAAACACGGGAGGAACGAACCCCCCAGAGAGTATTATCGCCGACTCAAAAGTGCTTATTTCCAAGGTCGAAACGGCCCTGGGCTCGAGGAAGACCCTGCCTTCAGATCCCTGTTCATTCACAACCTGCACGAGTGTGTTCGCTCCGAAGTCTCAATGTATTGTCGGATGAAAAAACTGACAACTCAGGAGATTAGGAGATACGCTCAACAGGCTTGGGAAGCCGGCGGAAAGCCCCAAAAGCCTGACGCACATCACCGCGTTATGCACCTAGCTCCCGACGCCGAGCCGCGTTTGGAGCTCGGAGGCACAGAAGCTCCACCCACTAAGCCAAAATCTGCTAAACCTAGACCTGCTAAACCGCGAGAGCAGTCCCAATCTCCTCAACAGGGGAAGGGGGGTGCTGATTGGCCGCCTAGGTCTGGACAATCAGACAGGAAGTGGCCCAACCAAAACCAACGGCAAGCAGGTCGGAACAGTGGAAGGTTTAAGGAGCGCCGCCCACAGGTAGGTCCCGAACACAAGTCCGCAGGTGAGTACTTGACCAAAGCCGACCTCCAGGAGATGTTTCAGCAGTTCCTAGCTAAACAGAAGGAACAGCTGAGATCTGCAGATGAGACCCCTGCACCAAATTCTGCTTCTACGAAGCCAGACCCAGAGCCAACGTCCGCATGACTAGGCGTGGCTCAACCTCCCAGCGTGGCCAGGACCTACCTGATCAGCTGGGGGAACACTACTGGTAGATCACAGGAGTCTCCTGAAATCTACCCCCCAGAGAAACCTGATACTAAAT